GCGTTCCAACAATTCAGTTGTTAAGCATAGGCGACGGGTTTTCACAACTTTAGGGGTATCACGTATCGGTAAAAGAACTACACAGCTACATGTGTCTTATATGCATGCATGTGTATAAGATACGGCGAACTGGAGATTAGGGAGCAACCGGTTGAGGATAATAAATTTATTCTGCATTCATCGAGTTTGTATAGTCCTGGACGAACGCGACTTGATGAGGTTTAGTGATTTAGCCATCTGAAACAATGTGGCAGGATATCACGTCTTCAGAATCATCAAGTGTCAAGTAAGTGACAACTCGAAGTTGAGTTTTGGTGGTTCCCCTGAAACAGTCTGGATCAAAGTGACTTCGTGTGATAACCCACGGATTCGGAATAGGGTCCCGGTCCCTTCTGGGACCACGTCCAATGCAACGGTACATCGGATTACCTTTACTCCTTAGGACTAATACATGGTAGGAGCTTATTAAGAGGCGCGCGAAGATAGGGGAGCACTGTTCATCAATTGGAATTCGACTGATCTATTTCAATCGTCATCATTGTTACCAACCCTCGTGTTAACGACGAGTAATAATGACAAGACGCATATATGTATAAACAATATATTATTGTATACCAAGGCCTGTACGATATAGCACCACCGCTACGGTTCTTCTGCAATGGAACTGATCTTATCTGTTTTAACATGTGTTGAAGCTTTGAAGAAAGAGGCTGAACTTCGTTCTAATAGTAAACAGTAGAAAGATTACGGAAAATATGAGACTGCTTACCGTTCACTCATCTTTTCCCAAGTCAACATCGACATTATTATGGTCTTAACATTATGGCTAGGATAGGGAGGGTACGGGCTCTGCTAACGGCACGAGCCGGCCAAAAGTCTTACGGCCTTGTCTGATTGCTGATTTCTAACTGGAACCCCAGCAGTGCCAAGCCTTGCCCCTGTATCGATGGATACCCCCACAATAAATATCGTGAGGCTGGTTGTACCGATCGTTGCCCGACCGGTCGAACGCTGTAATGGTTGTAATGTACATGCCAAATTGAAGGTTACAATATAGCGAGGTAAGTTTTTTCTTTTTTTTCTTTTCAAGCATCGTGAAGCTGGTCGAGAAATTTTCATGTGTTTAGGTATGTTAATGTCTTCGATGCGAATATCGTCATCCCCAAGTTAAATTTCTCGACATTTACATTACCTATCAACGTCAGTTAATCAGATGACGTTTTAACTTTCACTTATTAAGTAGTATAAAATTTTATTATGAAACTTACCTACTTAGTTTAGAGAATGATCAATCGCTGCTAGACCGGTCAGCTGATCTGCCTTTTGATAATATCATAGGTTTTTATTCTTATTTTTTAAAGCTTCGATAATACTTGAGGTTACGACTTAGGATGGATTGATGAATCTATAGGTATAAGATATTGAGGCGGAAGAGTCGGCTTCCCGTAGCTTTCCGTCGCCTCCTAAACCCTATGCTAATGTCATGCCGCGCTATGAAATTCAGATTATACCGAACCATAGAAGCATCCATACCATACCATGCCATCCTATCTAGGATTGTTACCCCTCATTTTGCTCTCTCGATTCCCCCCCTCCTGGAAGTATCTTTTCATACACACTCCGTCTACGCTTTAGGGATGATATGGATTTTAGGACACCACTTAGAAGCAAGTGCAGCCGGTCAACTATCCCAAGCCCACCTAGATGCAACATACTGATGTGGTATCTTCCGTGCGCTGCACTCCCGTCTGCAACTTGATATGCGGGAGTGTCGTGATAATAAACAATGTCGACGATATGCTGTTAAATTTTCGATCACATTGATATTAAGTTAGCGCTGCTTGTCACGATGTTTTCTTGGCATCGAGGACAGAATGATAAAAGAGATATTCGAGCTGAATAAAAAAAGCTAGCGCATAGCCGAGGGTATGAAAAAAAAGAAGTCGAAGTGTTAGCCATGTAAGAATGGCACATCTTGATATTTTTACCTTTACAATCCTACTTGGTACCCATCCAGGTATTTAGACACCTAAGCATACACGTGCAGGCTGAGTGGCGAGGCACTGAAGAAATAGTCGGGATTATTAGGGAGCTTCAAGTTGAACAAAACTTGATGGAAACCTTTTCCAGTTGAAGTTGAAGTTAACTTGAAATGTCTCAATTGATAACGGATGACCAGTTTTGTAATTAAACCCCAGCTAATTTAGAGTAAACTTCAACTGCTAGCTTGTTTAAACTACGTCCATATTTAGTTAAGTGTAAGGTGTAAATAAGTTACGGAGATATCCATAATCCAGACATACGCGCAGGTTCCGGTGCGATCCAGGGAAGGAGTTGATGGAGAATGCCAGGTGCGAGAGGGTCCGTCTGTATTATGTACTTAAATACCAGAATACCTGAATACCTACCTAACTTTATCCATGTTAAATGTCAGCGTACATTTTACACCCCAGAACCTGGGCCCATGCTCTTTTTCTCTCTTCCATGATCCATGATCCATAAACCCTGATCCCTGAGGTTTAAACCCCCATTTTATCTACATATGTACTTTCAAGACGTATCCATAATCCCTTCCCCTAGTACTATAGCTAGTACAATCTGCAACCGCGCCGGGAGGTTCAGCGGTACCTTGACGCAGCTCGACGGGTACCTGAGCTCTTGCTGATGACAAGCCTATGAGGCAGGGTAGCTTTCTCGAGCACGAAGTATTTGGACATGGGGGGAATCGCTTCTGGGTACCTCGAAGTGCTAACCCTCCTTGCCCAAGTGGTAGAGACGATCGAAAGCAGGAGCAAGTGTGAAAATGAGAGTGAAAGTAAGAGCGGAAAGAAGCTCTCTCATCGTTGCCATCTGTGTTATTCCGCATCCCGTCCAATGTCTTGTCACTATCACTACCACATCGTCCACCAGCATTACCACATCTCCCACCATCATCTATCCCAGATTCTCCAATTGACCGGCGATGTCACCTGACATCCTGATCACATTTTAATCTGTCTTATTCCTCAAGTCTAGCAAAAGAATCCCATCTTAAACGTCGCAACACTCGGCTCGCTCGGTTCAGAGACCGAGACGCTCACGCTCAACGTTCAACGTCCGCATCAACTAAGATTGATGATATAGGCAAACGCTGTTTAGTATAGCAGGCCTATTAATTTGTGGTTACCAATCCAAGGGACTCGGTTGACAACCTGGGTTTCCAAATTTCCATGTTAGCGAATAACGCACATACGAAAAATACCCACGGACTCTGGGTCAACACGGACCTATTCTGACGATTCGCAACTAAGGAACGAAACCACTGGAGGCGCCCACCGTAACCACCCTCACATTTTACTTCGCATCGTTATATCTTTTTATATCGACACTAGCCGCTTTCGAGTCTCTGCACAGCAAGGGCTCTCGCCTTTTTTCTGGAGGGATCGCCGGTCTGGTTCTCCCCTTGCGATCTCGTCAATTTCTGTAGCATATGCCCGTTGCTACGAACTGAATTTGGATGTGCTCGAGCCCTCTCTTTTCCCTTTTTGCGATCACCACTTGGGACCCCACAACTAGGAAAGGAAGACATCCCATCTTCATACAGCTTCCCAGGGAGTAATAATCAACCTCCATAATATCTGTCTTAATACACATTACACTGCTCCTAGGTGGACAGTGGACAGGACTCACTAGTCTATCTGCCATAGTGCTCATTGGTCCGTATGCTACCACTTGGCTCTGGCATATAACATCCCACTCCGCCGCCACTTCGGAGGCTCTGGCCTGTATATCTGCATTCTGTCTGGTCTCTTTTCTCCAACCCGTGTTGGCCGGCCTCGTCTGTTCATGCCGTGATTCTGATTGCTAAGTAAGGTCGCCTACGAAGCATACTCCTGACTTCCCCGGACGCTAGGAAAGATTTCTGCCATAATCGTAACAGCGTCGACCCCAGAGGCTACGGATCGTTATTTGGAGTTAGCCTGCTAATTCCTGCTGCTGGCTCATACACTGAGTGGGCCGCGTTCCTGGAGAAGTTCTGTGCGCTGGCAGCAAGTTATCAATCATAGGGGGAGAGAGGAGGCGAGACGAACTTCTCATAACCTCTCTGTCCTTGATCATACTGCGCCTCAGTGATACGCTGAATCCGGTCACGAGTCTCAACCTCCGAATTTGGCCTGAACTGTCCGAGAACTTAGAATTTCCATTGATCGACCTAGCTGTATTCGAGGAACCGAACCTAACTTCAGCCGACTTGCCACTCCTAACTGTGAAACATAGTACGGCCCCATCGAAGTCAGCACTTGGCGCACCTAATTCCTGGTTACGTCTTCGATTCTGCTGCAGAACATAAGTCTCCTTGGCCACACAGACTGGTTGATGATCTAGCCCGCCCCCCGGCGTAACTATCACTTCGTTCCTCGACTCTTAAGCTCGACTGGTTGTGCACAGAGACCTTTTGTTTATACGTGAGTGGTCGATCCCCATTGTTTAAACGACAGTTCCTACTTCTTTCCGTGCCCATTCTCTTCTCTTGAACACATCAGGCCGATCAGTGGTCGGACGTCTGGCTGATGTTATCAGACTTCCCTTGCCTTAAAGCTTTTCACTCTCCTTAAGCGGCAACACTATCATTCAAGTTAGCTTGTTCTTCTTGTTATTCACGTCACCGGCCGTTCTTCCCGAGTCTGGTTGTCTCCATAAAGTTAACCCTAGCCGACTTCAGATTGCTGCTCCTCTCCTTATTATTGCGCTGGACGCTCACTACTACTTCTTGAAGTTCGTATCCATAATTCAACTGCATTGAATTTCTCACATCGGTCTGGGCCGAAATATTCTGGGACCAAACCGTCTCCACGCATAGATTTCAATCTCGGCGTCGCATTGAACAGATTCCGCTTACATACTGTTCCGGGCAAGGGTGTCATCCACACCTTGGGGCTACCTTCGAACGACCCACGGTACCCCTGTCACTTTGCCTTAAGGGACATCGGTGCCTGGCCCACACTGCTCATCAACCTGGATGAGTCTTGGCTCGCACTGTAGGACATATAAGTATTCTCATTCGCTCAACTTACACCACTGGTGGCCGGGACTCAGATCTTGGGGTCACCGAAGAGATGGAGTTGATGGAACTTGTTGACAATGAGCCGACGGCTCGACCCTTTCAGTGCGACTGGCCATCGTGCAATAAGGTATGTGTGTTTGTCCCTTCCGTCTGTGGCCCGTCCCTCCTCAAACCTTATATCATCGCCGTTGTCGTAGTCGATGCCCGTGTCATTAACAATAACTTAGAGCTTTAACCGCAAATCGGACCTGCAAAGACATTATAGAATTCATACAAACGAAAGACCATATTCATGTGTAACTCCTGGATGTGGAAAAAGTTTCATACAAAGAAGCGCCCTCACGGTGCATATAAGGACTCATACCGGCGAGAAACCTCACCAGTGCCAACACATTGGGTGCGGCAAACGATTTTCAGATGTAAGCACTTAGTCGATCCGAGGATCATTGGTGACTTCGCTAACCCGAGTAGTCGTCAAGTTTAGCTCGACATCGACGTATTCATACCGGCAAGCGACCATATAAGTGCGCCCATGATGGGTGTCTCAAGAGGTAAAACGAGAACAGCCATCCCCAGAAGCAATAGCTAACTTCTCTTTGCAGTTTCTGCCGAAAGACGACCATGGTCAAACATCAGAGGCGATCTCATCAGAGAGGTATTCACTCTTCCGAAGTCGACGACTTTTCTTCCGAGTCCGACGGCGGCGAATCTCCGTCAACACCCAAACAAACTAGTCTGCCATGGTCAACCAGTCACCTGAGTAGCGGCCATCCAGGCCTGCAGGGCCATACCATCCAAAGGGCAGCGTCGTTCGCCGATTTTGGCCAGCAGATAAACGATTATAACGTCCAGCAACAATATCACCGACACAGCGTTTCCGCAGGAGGCTCTAACGAGTATCATGGCGAGGTGGTTCAACAACCGCAACATTCCGGCGTTCATATGCTGCATCGAACAGCTAGCATGCCACAGCATACGTATTACGTGACGGAACAGAATAACCCAGGAGTAGCGACCATGAACACGAATCCGATGCAGTCGTATCAGATGCCGAGACAGCAACCCGATAGGCTTCCCTTAGAAATCCCGTATACCGGAGCTGGCATGGCTGGCTCTATACAGAGTAGCCCAACTTCCTACTCGGCCGGCCCAGGACGAAGCCCATCTGCGCAAGATGGGTTCTATACGCATCAACCTCCCCAAACGGCGGCGTATACGTTGAACACGACATCGCCCGTGGTAGAGCAACCCATGGTCCAGTATGCTCAACAGATGCACCATTCTGTCCATCCTCCTCAGTCGGTACAGCCTCAGGTCGCTCCACCACAGCATGTTCATCAGGCTCAAGAACAGTACCAACCGCCACCGGCGCAACCAGATGACCAGCATTGGTACAGCACGATGCCTTTTCAATCTCCTGTCGAGGTGCCCACCATCGGTCAGCTGCCTTCTTTTGGATCTGGTGTTTATGGAGACCCTTGGGCCATCAAACCCGAATTCGACGACCCGACGATGCAAATGCCCAGCGCTAGAGTCGATAGCATGTAAAATCTGGCCTGGCATATTAGCACAGTTCGTTTCGCTTGTCGCATACTTAGACCTTCCTCATTTTACTGCACGCGTCACGGCACGTTTTTCCCTTCATAATTATCATTAATCGTCACGAGCCTCCGACCTGCTCTTGTATAATAGTCATCTCGTTTGTTTGTTTTTCATGCCGAATAGGATATACCACAGGGGCTCACAGGACCAGATCATTTATTGTTGGAGACCGGGTAGCTACTGTCGTGTAGTGTCTTTGCGATACCACAGAAGCAGTGCTGCTCTCCAATTTGTTAGGTTTTCGACACCTTCGCTTTGTACCCGCAGCGGCGTCATGCGCGGTTCAACGTCCAGCTGGTTGATGTTGACGTCAGACTATGTTTCCTCCGACAGCCGATGCGACTCTGAACGACATATCGAAATGTCTCGACTGCCCAGCTCCTGGCCCGTGAAGTTGCCCCAGGGTACAAGTCTTTCACGCGCCACGGCCGAATTAAGATGCCACGTCACGTCACGATATACCGTTCCCTTATCGTTACTTCCATGGCGTATGGGCTATCCCTTTAATCCTTTCCTTCAGTCCCGTATGTATCACGAACGGTTACGTCACAAACTTTCAGTCTTCTGTATTTCAATAATTCCATTAGCGGTAATCAAGGGGGGTGGAGAATGTAACCTAGCTCCGACGGTTCGACCCTGAGAGAAGCGAATAGGAGACGAATTCGAATCGATAAAAGCGCGACGATAGCAAGGTCCGGCGCATCCATAATTCGATCGTACCCGTCATCTACCTGGGACAAGCATGGCGCATAGCATTATAGGAGCATTGAGCTAAGTCTAGATGGGTAATGGAGGAGACCAAAGAAAAAAAGAAGAAAAATGAGGCGATCGGCAACTGCTGTATTACATCGAGATATTTCCTAATCGTTGGTTTGGCATTTCGGAATAATCAACTGACGACGTCCCGATTTCCTTTTGACGACACCACAAGAATAATACGGCTAACGGCTCTTATACCGTCTATTTTTCGTTCAACGGGTTTATGTGCCCAAGCTGGCGGGAGAGATAAGAAAGAATGCCATGATGGCGGGATGAGGGGAAAGAATGTGTCGAGTAACATGGGAAACTTGCTGATGGCGTATCTGCCATCAACTCTGTAATAATAGGAGAATTTCTGGGCGGATCAAGATGTAAGAAATTCGGGTGGAAGGGGGTACGGTACACGCGCCTTCGTTGAGGTTGGGGCGCAACTTGTACTGCCATTGTGATGGCCGCCCAATTTCGTCCGAGTGGTTGGCACGAAAAAAAGAAATTGTATTTGTACGATAGCGTAGTTGGTCTATGCGTGTAGTTTTCGCTTGGGGCGTGTTGAATAATATGTTCGGAACAAGTTAGCTCTTTTTCATGAGGTTGAGTGACAAGACATATTCATCCTATGGCGGGAAATCGTCGAAGCTGATTTTGACTTCTAAGGGGCTTCGATATTGGTGAAATGGAACAATTGAGGATGGATATATGAAGTGAAGGAGGCAAAAGAATTGAAAAAGAAAAAGAAGCAAGGCTCGGTTATCTCGCCTGATTGAGATTTGTTCTGTTGCTCTCTTGCCCAAACCCTTTTAATATTGACTTGCATAGGTAGGTACTAGAAAAACTCTTCATGATATATAAATATAACACACGTGGTCGCATCCGCCGAGCTGAGATATGCAATCCCGCATCCTTCAGGACGACGCCAGATCTTTAACATCGTTTCATCCACCCACTTGGACGAATGAGATGTGTTTGTTATTTGGCTAGATGGAAGAATGGATGGAAGGGGAAAAGTGGAAAGAGCGGGAAAATAAATAAGTTAAAAAAGAAAAGCAACGTTTTGAGGCTGATATGGCTAGTCAACCTCTGTGCTAAACTATCGCGCCGTTCCGAGTTATGGAAGTTTATCGTTCGTTGAACCTTCCTTAGTCACGAGACGCACATGCACACTACTGACGGCCGTCCTATTGAAGAAGCGACGGAATGGATACGGTCATCCGTTACACTACGTATGAGGAACTGATGTACGCTATATATATGCAAGTTGGCGCGTGGCGAATGGGGCCTCCGTTGAAACTCACAGCAGACTATTCATCGCGCATTCCGCATACCGAACACCAAATAGGAATGTACGTGATGGACCGAGGTAACGCGCCACGCGGTAGGGAAATCGGGAAGAAATCGAGAACCACGCGAAACTGACGAATATTCAAGTGTGCCTTCACGCCGGTACGCACTAACTACTTGGTCATATCATTTAGATGAATACCAAGAACACTCAAACGGCATTGAGGTTGATGTTGCGTTGTCACGCCTCGCATCTGCGTAGTAAGACGGGATATGAAAAGGAGCCCGGATGTAACTCATCTACGGCGCAACTAAAATTATCATTGTGAAGGCATAATCTAACTGCGACCAACTTACTGGTCTCCAGCTCAATACCAGGCCCCTTCCACACCACCATTTTTGCGCCCCCAAAATAATATCTCTTCCCTCCGTCCGCTTAAAACGCAGTCCTCCCCGTCTTGATAGTCCTCAGCATGCCTTCGTCCGCGAGCTTCTCCCACATGTTCCAAAGCATGAAATCGCAGCCCCTCTTCGCGATAACGCTGACGGTCACCGGCACCATCTCCTCGACGAATGTCACGTTGCTCGCGTACGGCACCTGGCCAATCGGGATCGTCATGTCCACGCACCCGTAGATAGGGCACAGGCTCGCGCCGCTGATGCCCGCCGTCGGCGGCGTCACCGCTAGGAAGGCCGTCGTGTTCGGGTTGCTGTTGAGGGATTCCTCGCGGTAGCTCGGCAGCCCGCCCGTCCCGATATCCCAGAGCATGATGCTTTCGCTGCACGATTCCGGCGTCGAGTACAGGATGTTGGTCTCGAACCAGTCTACGGCCGCGCGCTTGGTCGCCAGGGATTGATTGTACAGAGTATCGTTGTAGACAGATTCGTCGTACGATTTCCAGTAAGGCCGCCGCGCCGGGTCGATGGGCGGGAAGCGCCCGTCGTAGAGGGAGCTCCACGTTGCGAGGAGCGGCTTGCCGACTTCTTGGTACTGCGTTATGGTGTCGATAATCTGCGTTGCGTTGTTGAGGGCGTCGTACTTGGGGACCTCGTCCGTCGTGTTCCCGACTACCGCCGTCAAATTGAAGTCCTCGACCGTCATTCCGAAGACTGCCGTCATGTTGCGGATGAACTCCTGCAATATCTCCTCCGCGGCAGGATTCTTCAGCGGTAAATAATCTGTTAGATATAGGATCCGTTTAGGGAAACTATACGAATTAGGCACGACAAGGGGACTCAAGCCCGTAATCGAGGAGTCCTGGCATAGCTCAGGGATATACCAATTCTTCGCGAAGCGCACCCAATCCTTTACGTTCCGCGAGAACACCCCCGCCGTGTCGGTCGCCGCGCCAAGCGGCATAACCCCCTCCAGCGTCATCATCCCCTGACTCGGCCTATTCCCGTACGTACCCGAGACCGCGGCCGGCCGCCTCATCGACGACCCCGTGTCCGACCCGATCGCGAAGTCGAGCCAGCTGTACGCAGCCACGCTGCACCCGCCCCCCGACGAGCTCGCGGAGCACGTCAGCCAGCCGTCGCCGCGCGGATTAAACGGGTAGTGCTCGTCCTGCCACTCCCACGGGTCCGCGCCGGACGCGAACTGCGCCAGCTTGTACTTGCCCACCGGCACGCCGCCTAGGTCCACGATGCGCTGCACGGACGGCGCCGTCGCGTTCGCGGGGCCGGTTATGGACGCCCACGCTTGGCTGCCGCCGGATGTTACGAGGCCTCTCATGTCGTACAGGTCTTTGATGGCGACCCGCGATCCTGCGAGCGGCCGCGGGTCGCCCCAGCTGTAGATCCGCGAGGGGACTGGTATCATCGGGTCCCAGAATCGAGATTGGTGGATGGAGACGGGGCGGAAGGAGCCGGTGCCGTCGTTGGAGTCGTATGTCCCATAGAGGAAATCTCGGTATGAGTCTCGGTACAGGCGGTACACCGTGCTGAATGCTATCGAAGTCTCCGAGATCGAGGCGGCGTATGGTCCGGCGGTAAGGTTGCTCGGAGCTGCGATATATATGACAGGGACATTTGAAGAGACTAGGAAGTATCAACTATGGATTTTCGTCAAGCTGACATGTGGGCTGCTAGGTGAAAGAATTCGAAACATACGGCGTCTTCCTCCAAAGCTGCTATCTAAGAATATGTGCTTAGGCGCGAGTCCGCTTAGGTATGTCAGAGCACTAGTATCGAGTATCGGATTGCCGCCCGTACTGTTGCTGGCGATGTACAATGCCTCCAAGAAGTCCTCTGAAAATACATCGTCGCCTTCTAAGTAGCTTGTAATCACACCCTGCAGGTAATCGCCCGTCACGACATCGCCCTCCGCGAATATGACGGTTAATGGCACCGGGGAATCTTGTCGGGTTGCTATAGCAGAGTAGTTGCCGCTGAGAACCGCCTTGGGGTGTTTAATATTCGCTAGGTACGTTTGGTTACCAAGCTCAAACGCGACGCTACCATGCTGCGTTGTCTGCAGGTGTTTCCAGGCACTACGTTTCTCAGCCACGGCAAACACCGAGCACGCGCAATGCAGAAGCGTTGCGCTTCGAGATGCGAAATTCCAAAACCCCATCTTCTTCGACTCCGAGAAAGCGTGTCGTCGAGGATGGAGGTAAACCTCCAGCTCGGAATAATCTGGCCATGATAACTTCTCAAGTCGTATTTATGCAGACTCGTATTCCCTCTCCCGGCAAGGATTGATCTTTCTATCGCGCTGGACGGAGGGATTGTGCTTATCTTCGCATAGCTCCGCCATGTCCCACCGCAGCTTGGCTGTACGCTGCCGAAGCTGCAGAGCTCGCGCCTTATCGTCGACGCCCACATCCGGCTCCTTATAGAGCCGAGCTGGCCGTCGCAGCGAAGCTAACTACCCTGGGGTTATGCGGAGATGCGAATTTCTTGATGGGGGATCGGCAGGTTTTCTAACCTTCCTGTTGGTTACGGCTCCGGTGATGTAACTTGGCATTTGGGGTTTGCGCAGAGAAAAAGCAGGGCTCTTATCAAGTCTGCTTACCTACCTACTTATCCCTTACCCCTCACTATTGCGTGAGATGAGCGCGTCTTTCGTGAGAATCTTAGCCGAGAAAGTAAACACCACGAGCTTGGATTATCTAACATGACCCCCGCTATTTAAAACCATGTATTAAGTGAGGTCATAGTGCATTCTTATAACAACCTTGGGCTATTTTCTTCTTTGACGTTAGCCAATCAGCATGAGTACCACATTAACTGTTCTCATTTCATCGGATAACACGACAAGATCTTAAACTGGCATACGAAGGTCAACCTTGAGAGTTGAAATCTAAGAATATCTAGGTAGCGAGAGCGCTGAATCCTGCTCTGCCTGCTTTACATTTCTAGGCATTCTAACATCGCCAACAGTAAACGAGGTGGCAACAAGAAAAAATTATCGTTTTTTTCCTAACTTGCCTCAAAGTCCACAATTAAGCTGATGGCCTATACTTGACTGGGGAGGAAGACCGATATATATCGATCCAATACTATTCTCGACCGTTATGGTGGGTAGCCTCCAGGATTTGTTAGGGTTCTCCCGACCGCTCCCGGCTGTTCTAGAAGTAGTAGAAAATTGGCGTCCTACGTAACTACCCAGGTAAGCAATAGGGATTGCGGCGATCAGGACGACATGAATGCCAATAAGAATACGGGAATTAAGACGGGTATAGGCATATGGAATTCCCCACGAATGGGACTCGAGTGGCAAATTTAAAATGGCATCCTTCGTAACATGGGATTCTTAAAAATGCCATCATAGAAGTATTTACCCCTTTCGCTTATTTAAACCAACTGCCTTATGCTCTCATAACCGGTCAGACGCCTCCTTGTAGTCAAGATGGCACGGTCTCTCCATCTCCCATCCTCTCTTCCCCATTCTCTCTAGCAATCAGATCATGGCCGCGGTACTATCCATAAACTCGTTGCCATACGAGGTACGCCAGGAAATTTACTCTCTCATCGTGCGGCAAACTGACTCTCACTCTCGGGACAGTGGCTCGGTACCGACGCTTGCGCGGTATGCTACTGTCTCCAGAAGGTGGCAGGAGGAATTCGTGGAACCTCTCACATTTAAAGAGCTTCGCGTCACTCCGAGGCGTCTCAAGGATTTTAGTGATATAGTTACTTCAACGCGACGCAGAGCTCTTGTAGAGACGATTCACTTCCATGTTTCTCTCGATAGGTATGAACAGTATCTGGACAGCGAGCAGGAAACGTCGGCGGAGAGACGACGGAGCGCCGAGATCCTGGTATCGGCTCTCAAGAGCATGTTTCGGGCGATGATACTTTGGCGAAAGAGCGAGACCTCGCCTCGTGGACTGGATCTTCACCTCATCGTTGATTCACCTAGTGATTCTTCGACGCTCATCGGCAGGAAGGGAGGTCTCTTAGTGACAGCGCGGGCTCTAACGTCATACTTAAAAATTGACACCGAGACGCTATCACTGCCATACTTGGATGTTTTCAGTGGTTTCCGATGTACTGGAAGACACTTGCAACCAACCTCTGCTTTGGCTATCGCATCTAGACTTCGGACATTGGAATATCTCGACCTCGAGCTTAACCACGACTCAACCCGCAACAGAGATATCGAACAAAGGAACAGTTAGTGATTTTATCTATTGCTTCTCTCTATTTTCTTCTATCTTCTTCTATCTTGTAGAATGTCGCATAGGTAGGTTACCTAGATTTTATAACATATTGTCAGAACGATAGTCTAACCTCTAGAAACCGAATAGATTTCGCCTTGGGTCTCGAACAGTACGCAGAAACCGTTAGGGTCCTGAACCTGCATCGACCTAGCCCGATGCTGACAACGTCTCCTTCGCCACAAAAACAGCCATGGTCAGAGTTCTACGTCAAAATGCGAGCTTTCAGCCAACAGTGCGAATCGCTCGAGTTTGACGACTGTATTGACGCGATCCAGTTCTTCGCACCGTTTCTTATAGGCCCCACGGCGGAGAGAACGCTCAGGGGCCAGGAAGCGCCGCTGTGGATGCGATTGAAGAGGCTTAACGTGCGAAATTCGTACATGGTGAAGGCGCCGTATCTACGCGTAGCCAACAGGGCTGAGGCTCTAGCGTCCATTCATAAAGTCATAGTAGCCATTGGTCGCGCTACATCCCGAATGCCGGAGCTTTTATTTGCGCGCGTGTCTCAGTATGTCCTTACAGATGGGCAGCTGGAGTGGTTTGTCCTCACATACGAGTCCCATGCTGGCAAAGCTGTCCTGCGGGTTAGGGGTTTCGTGCCAAGTAAAGCTATCGCTGGAGCCTGGAAACATGCTACCACCACTAAAAGTCTGGAATTTGATATTCGTCATGAAAATGATGATTCTAACGTGCCTGAGTTATGATATTTGCACTTTAACGAGCAGGGTCTTACTAGCCCACGAAAAGCGGAGAGCTAGTCCGAGATCATGTAGTTAGATATGTACCTAACTTTGGTTTTCATATGAACGTTGATATAAATATGACATAGTATCGATTAATGTTTAGTTTATATGAAGTTGAAGCTCGAATCGTTTAACCATTAGAAAGATAGGGGTAGTTCATTTTAGTGTATCATTACCCCTATTCTATTTCAATAACTTCTTGTGTAACGTTTTCAAACAAATCCGTATAGTTCTTCGCTGAATGACCTCTTGTATCTTCTACTATTCGCCCTTTTGATCCTGTGTTAATGTAAAATAGACCTAGACGTTTGAATCGTGTAGGAGAATGAGTTGTAGTATCTTTTGCTATTGCGTGGAGGACAAGCCCGATAGGCCCACGCTTTTTCCTACCGACGGCATTACCAATTTGAAACAACGAGACCTTGATCGGGATTAATGTTTTCGTGCCCTCCTCGAAGTCATCTGCGTCAGGATACATAGTAACGGACTGCACCGTGGCCTCCTCGTTGAGGTTATCATCATGAAAATCTGCACCTGTCGGTATACTCAATGAATCCTCTGCCGTATTCCGATACCACGTAGCTTCTATCAACCGACCTCTCAGTCTTAATATTCCTTGCAAGATAGAGCCATATTTCGCGTATGCGTTAACTAGCTTGATATCGACGTCGAGAAGGACAGCGCGACAATCTTGTTCGCAGGCTCGGGCGAGTATGAATCTTACAGGCCCATTTACACCAGTCCAAGACCACGAAGGACCTTGATAATGAACCGGACGTGGAAGGCGCTCATGCTCATTCCGATCCACACTCCAACACAGAAAACTTGGTAGGGTTGATTTCCACAACCCTGCCAGATAATCATCCCTGAAATGAGATGCAAATACCTGGGCGATCCCCGAAACTGCGAGTGGGCGATCCGTGAGGACCGAAAGCTTGCGCGGAGTATAATGATGGACGATGGTTTCCCATCTGCTTCCTATCCAGTCTGCGATCCACTCTGCGCTCGACCCCCTTGAGGCCATTTCTTCTAAATCTTGTTGCAGCTCGCGATAGATATAGATAACTTGAGTGGGGGCTTCAACCGACCCTTCCCGTTTCCAACCATCGCAATAACTATCTTTATTACCAGAGCTTGCGCAGGTCCAGCGCATTTGGGTTTTGTCGAATTCTAGGAATCTGTTGGATAAATAACGCTCCTGTAGTGTCCACGCGCGGTCATGAATGGGCGCGGGTTCGTGTCTACCCTCGATATAGGTGATATACGCTGACCCTAGAGTGCCGTGTTGGTCTGGGCAGCGAAACGGAAGCTTCACAGCAAGCCGTGTATTTTTTATTAAATCGATATCGTTCAAAAACCCGCTGGACGCGCGATCAGACTTCGCAGCAACAATGGTGACACAAGCTTGGTTGTAGATCCGAGGCATGTCTGCGATCTGTTCAATCTTGTCATTCTCATCATCTTGGATGATACACAGAGCATCGACCCAGAGATACTTAAGACCGAGTCTCGGTACTACTTTAACAGCGTCCTGCACGGACCTGGCGAGTTTTTCGTACGGAAGACGCAATTCACCCGATTCCATCCGCGCCTTGGTGGTCTTGCAAGCCTGATCGCCGCCCCAGCAATAGCTGAGCGCTGCAAATGGCTCCACCTTGCCATGGGTGTTTTCAAGAAATACATCGAACTCGCCTGAAGTCTCAATCTCATCTACACGAAGAATGCGCGATGGCATAGAACTTTGCTCCGTCTGACAATTGGGATGCGAGCGCAGGCACTCCTCTAGCCAGCGTCGTGCTAGTGCCAGATTCTCCGGGGAGCCTGGTTGGCAATTGATAGGACGAGTCCAAATGAACTGACTTGCCGGATCATCTAGTAACCTCTAGTCAATTTGGGGGGCTGAAAAGTACGGATTGCATATATCAACCTGCCGCATTGGATGTTGCAAACCTTTCGTTGTGAAGACATCTAAGGAAACCGGGTATACGATTTGGCATTTGCCAAGTCTAGAATCGGCTGGTAAGTCATCTTCCCATAACCCTATGAAGAGCAACTCGTCGACTGGGTAGCGGTCAAGTAGAGACATGCTATAGCTGTCGGCGCAGACGGCTATACGGCTAGCCGAGGCTTTCGCAAGAATTCTGTACTTGTCGCCATAGCGTCCTTCCCAAGCTATATGAAGCCATGAACATAGCTGACAGTGATTGGAAACTCCTTCAAGCACGTCCTCTAAGGTCACACCGAAGAAAAATATAGAGTCTTCTTCGCCAATTTCCCTGCCGGTAGGAGGCCTCTTATTATCGAGGTCTATTACGAACTTTTGACAGTGTTGGCATGAATGATAAGATGCCAAGTCGGTCATTTCTGGCGAAGAAGTGGTGATTTGGTGGCGACTCGTATCTTGAAAGAAGAGGATATATAAGTACATACCTGAAACAGGAATGTTTTGAACATAAGATGTCATGGAAAAGGCCTCATTACTGCGGCTGTGTCAGGTAATGCGCCCCCTTAATTTTGTGGGGTTATTATTAGTAGTGTCATAAATATCTCTAGGAAAATACTGGTTTTAATGAGCATAGCGTTTAAAATCATAAACTGGTATGGTATTATGCGTGTAAGAGAATTGATGGCTTACAAGCTAAATGCCTTTAGCCGTGATTATCACAGAGCCAATGCCGTCCTCTTCCTTAAACTACCATAGCGTATAAAGGCTGGCGGTGATAGGTAATATGGGAGCCTCAGCGACACGTAGCCACGTCTTTGATCTAGATATCCGAAGTTCGTGGGTTACTCAAACTCCGATCCCGTGGGTTGTCAGACTCCTATCTCCTAGTCCTCTCACAAGCCAGATCTCTTTACACCATCTCCTCCTCCTCCTCCTCCTCCTCCTCCTCCTCCTCCTCCTCCTCCTCCTCCTCCTCCTCCTCCTCCTCCTCCTCCTCCTCCTCCTCCTCCTCCTCTTCTTCTTCTCCTTCTTCTTCTCTCTCCTTCTTCCTCTGCTCCTTCTCCTTCTTCTTCTCCTCTTCAAGTTCTGCAATCAAAGCCTCTATCTGGGAATCGAAGTGATCGATCTTCTTAAGCATATCGATCACTAGGCCGCGGTCGAAGTTCGGCGTATCTTCTTGCTTGTAATAGTTTACAAGATTGGTTGTGCAGACCTCCAGACACTCAAGAAAGCACTTGAGCTGTTTGCGGTTGAGTTCGCGTATGGTCTCGAATTCGCCTTCGAGATTCTGGAATTCAGCAAACACGCTCATACTACCGGTAGGGTGGTTTGAGTGTCGTTGGGAAATGCTAAGCTTTGTTTGATGTGTTGCTCTGATATTATATAAGGTAAGCATAATTCTGATGGAATTTGGAATGGTATGCACTCACTTCTGTTACCTTGATAGGTAGGTAGCTGGAGGGAAGAAACTTGAGATGGATTACAATCCTTTGTTCTATGTTTCCTTGAGTTAAGTAGTTTTATATATCTATTTTTTGAGACAGTAATTACAAAGTCATAACTTTTCTGCCAGACCGGCCAAAATCAGCACACTGTATTGGGAGGTCTAAGCTTCTTAAGATATTCGATGGTTATATCGAATCGGCTATATGATTCGTGATTGTTTCCCTTGCGTGTTATCGTTGAATCCGCATGAGTCTCCGAAGGAGAGTTCTAATTAGAAGGCATGATTTGGCATTTGGTTAAGCGGGAGTCACCGAGTGCATATCTGGATCGTTTAAGTAGGTAAATTATTATGAGATAATCATCGAGAAGATAAAAATTTTCTCGATGATTGCTTAAAATATGGCATTCTTCGATACTTTATAGCATAAAAACCTTATGTATGAATCTTAGACGGAATACAAAATCGTTTATAGTCACACAAGTTAAAAGTTTTCACACGCATGCATATCGGATAGGCAAATATCAATGGACGTGTAACCGATTTCAGGAATGGCACTTTAAGGTATCGATGCACGACTTTGAGGTACTGTAAGAAAATTTTTTAAGCCTACTGAGGACCATGGGACTCTTAACAAGGCTAGCAATTGGAATGCATATCATAACGTTCAAGATTGAGACGCGTAAAACTATGATGCTATTCATGAAGATGTGAGTTTTCATTAACAACATGAAGTAGTATGGTATCCACAATGCCCTATAACTGTCATTGTTGAGTTAAAACTATGTGCCAATCGGAATTTTAGTAAATTGTTGAATGGGCGAATGTATCATGTTGTCGTTTATATAATGTAGAAGCCATTCGTGTTACCAGATTTTAGAAATTCTAACTGCAATCAACGGAAGCTAAACGTGGTACGTTCTCGATGTGTAATAGGGGTTCATTTGCGATTATATAAAGATATAACGGGCGGGAACATCACTCCGTCTGCTCTAAGTATCTGGATACAGTGTCATCCATGGGTTGCTCAAGATGCTGTTGTTGGATAAGGACAGAAAATTACCATAGGATGGGCATGGGCCTTGACAGTGGAAAAACGAAAACATCCATATTTCATACACTGTACTTAAGATCATGATGTGAGACTCAGACACACACCACCACGGACAGTCGTAAACGCCGAAATTTTTCCTTGGGTCGGCTCTTAAGCCATAGCATTAGGTGCCTTTGCCGAAATGTCTCGTTGTGGGGTACTTAGCCGGCGTATTCACCCACCCGAATGCATCGGCCTTAAGAGGCCTCAGGCGTGAGGTAAGCAAGACCATATGGTAATACTCGAGAAACCTAGACGGACCAACCGGAGCTGAGTGACGAATGTCACTATTCTTACCCAGTTCCAAATCGCCGAAGTATGTGATGGATGGAAAGGGGTAGAGCACTTTGGATGCACCTAATAAGTGTTATCTCCGAAAAACTTCTGGTGGAGCCAAACCAAGAGTCTAGGATAGCTAGTGACGTTACTATGCACCTAGATTGTCGCAGTTGGACCCCGCGATGCTGCTATATCCAGTCACATCATTCTCGGATGAATATCCCTCGAGAGGATACTAGAGAGATGGTTAGGGAGGTATAAATATGCTCGTTCCTGGCTCAGCCTTGAACGAAGGATTTCATGTTAACTCACCAAATATTTAATCTTAACTCGCCAACGCAAAGTCCTTCGTCAAAATAAATCCATCCTACCAGCTCATTAGACACCGTCTTTAGTTTTTATATATTTATAATGCCGAAGGTTTTACTTACCGGTGGATCCGGTTTCATTGCCGGTATGTCGAAACCCGCCAGGCAATATTCAACATCCATATCCCTCCACTAACACGAACCAACTACATAGCCCACGTCCTCGATATCCTGCTCAAGAAGGGGTATGAAGTCGTAACCACAGTGCGGTCCGAGACCAAGGCCTCTCAAATCCGTGCCAAGTACCCGGGCGCAAAGCTCTCGGTAGCCATTGTACCGGACATCGCGGCGCCGAACGCCTTCGACTCGGTGATCGCGGGCGAGCCGGGGATCGACTACGTGCAGCATACCGCATCCCCCTTCCACTTCAACTGGAAGGATGCGCGCACGGAGCTCCTGGACCCTGCCATCGAGGGCACGAACTCGGTGCTTCGAGCCATCAAGAAGCACGCGCCCGGCGTAAAGCGCGTCGTGCTCACCAGCTCATTCGCAGCCATCATTACCGAGGCTGATCTTACTAATCCGAACAAGACCTTTTCTGAGGCGGACTGGAACCCTAGCACGTATGAGGATGGATTAAAGGGGCCGCCGCCGACGTCATACCGGGTTTCCAAGACGTATGCTGAGAAGACGGCCTGGGACTTTGTCAAAAATGAAAAGCCTGGATTCGACCTCGCCACTATATGTCCTCCTAGTACGTACCTAAATCGCGCCCGCACCCCCTCTCCCCCTTTCAGCCTATATACATCTAAACACTAACACCAACTCCTAGTGGTATTCGGCCCCGTAGCACACCACCTAGACTCGCTCTCGGGGATCAACACCTCCAACGCGCGGATCGCAGACCTAATCCAAGGGAAGTGGAAGACCGGGATCCCTCCCTCGGGTGTATACCTTTGGGTCGACGTGCGCGACGTAGCCAACGCGCACGTGTCTGCCATGGAGATTCCCGAGGCGGGCGGCCAGCGCTTCTTCACGACGGCCGGATACTACGACAACGTGCAGATCGCGAAGGTGGTGCGGGCCGCGTACCCCGACCTGGCGGACAAGCTGCCTACCGACGCCACGCCCGTGGCCAAGGGTGGTTCCCTTCCGGAAGAAGGCGCGTATAAGTATGACAACTCGCGCGCGACGAAGGTGTTGGGTATTGACTGGATTCCGCTTGAGAAGAGTGTTGCGGATACTGTCGAGACATTATTGACCATTCCTGCTTAATTTAAGCTGGCTGGGTACGGGCGATCAGTAAGCAACCTTAATATGACAAAAGGGGGGAAAGGACTGGGGCGTCAAGCTCCGGAATTAAACCATTTACAAATGTTCTAAAGCTAGAATGAGAATCATCTCACTAGGAATACGAAATATTCAACACAATGCATGTCTCCCGTAAATTTAGCACGTCATGTTAATTTATAATTGTGTATCTACCCGGTTTCCTGCTCATGAATTTGCCATGTCGTCCTACGAAGACGAATAAAAAAGCATCTCGAAACCGTGAGCCCTCATGATCCTCCCTGTAATGCCCTCTATGCCCCGGGCTCTCCGAGGAAACCAAATCGCACGTACCTCCAAATGGTGAGGTCATGCAGTGACGAAAAAGCTATTGATACATGATACAAGAAGCAAAATATCAAGATATTCGTCAATCGTCACTCGTGTCCATTGCGTCCCCGCCGGACGCCTTAGCCTTAGCAGCAGCGATGCGCTCGGTCTTCCACTCTTTAATCCGGTTGCGCAGGTCGTCGGCCGGGATTACGTCGTCGATGGTCATGGGTTTGCGCGTGAATGGGTCCAGCGGATTGGAAAGTAGTTGCTGGACAATCGTCGAACGGTCGACGATATTCTGTGATGGGAGGATGACGGGATCAGTCATCAGTTCACCCATCAGTGGGTCCTCGAACTCCTCAGGTATTTCTCCTAAGTCGAGTTCGGCCTGATCCAAACGTTGCTTGGCTTCGGCGACCAACGTGCATAGGGAGTTCCAATCGTCCACGACTTCCTTGGACTTGAAGAATTTCTCCCTTAATAATGTAGACGTCTTCTGAAAGTTTTTCGGCTTGTATGAGCGCCCATCAGCCGCGATAGCTTCGATGAACGTGGGTTTCGACTTCAGATTGATATATATGTCCACGAAGTCTGACAGGAGTGCCTTGGCGTCGAAGTGGTACTTCTTAGCATCCTCTACTTTGAGATTGCTTCGCTTATCTCCTGTGAGGGATTCCAAGTTGTAGTTCAGCATACCTGCTAGCCGATATACTATCTCGGGCATAGTGAATGCGTCCCGCAACGTTGTCGTAAACAGCTTCATCATACTGATCGTATCGTTGACTAGCTGCATCCACGATTGGCACTGCTGCTCTGCCTTCTCTAGCTCCGTCCTTATCTTCTCGATATCTTCGGGAGATAGACCCAATTGTTGAGACTGGTGCAACTGAATCTGATAGTCGTGGATGTTGATTAATTTAGTCAACGCCTCGTCCAATAGGTACGTCGCATCGTTCAATAACAAATTGACAAATTGCACGAAGAATTGGCGATTGACCCTAGACGACATTAGACGGTGAGATAACCAAGCTGCTGGGGATTTCTAAAACTTACTTGCTCTCGCGACTAAGCTGCTCCTGGTAGACGTTGTTGTCCCAAATGCATTTAATGACCTGGAATATTTCATAACGAATATTGAATCGGTCGTAAAATGCGGAACTGACGCCACTATGTTCGCACTCTGCAATTGTTTGTTAGTATTGGAAGACCAGGAGGAGGATCTATAACCTACCGATGTAAAACTTCATGAGAGCATGCAAGAGATGCTCATTAGCGAAAGAGGACGACGACAGGCTATCACCTAAGATTCCCTTAGATAGATGATATACTGGCCACGTGCCGGAGAAGAGTAGGGTGACGAGAGATGATTTCAAGTAGGGATTCTTGATGTACTCCGAAGATCTTAAGAACGTGATGCAGAACGTGATAATCTCGTCGCCAACAGCTGACACGAGAATTTGGGGTTTGAATCTAATGAGATGGTAAGCACTTGACCGTGATGGAGGGCTTTCTTTTTCAACTTACCGGAATATAAACTTGAAATTTTCAACCACATCCTGGATGGCGTACTCAGGAAGGCAACTAAAAGCATCTGGTTTATCCGCCGGAAGTGGTAATTTGATCTCCTTGCCTCCAGCTGGTCTATAATCTACTCCGCTAGCCACTCGGAGAAGCCACACAGAGACGTATCGCATGAACTGAAGGGATAATGTCTGCATACACTCGTCCAGTACAACTCCCTCTATGGTATACTTTAATGCGATATACTTCTCGATCGTGTTGACGGCGTTCTCGTGGTGCTGTCTTGCCGCAGGGAGACGGAACGGATCCTAATAATGTTAGCGGCGATAAATGCTTCTTTTTTAAAGAGAGATCGACTTACGTTCTGCAACTTGGGCAATTCGGCCTCGATCTTTTTGATAAGGCCTTCGACATATTTGATGTCCTTGTCAAGATCCTTCAGCTTTGATTGCGTCGCCCCAAGTCCGTAATGGTGAGCAGCCAAAGTTAGAAAGAACACTTCTGAGATGAAGTTTGACGATCCTGCGACGTGTGTCTTATAAAAAGCGTCCGCAGTGGCTTGATCAGCGTTGAGCTTCGTCTCATCACTCATGTCAACTCGCGGACTACGTCGGAGATAGTCAACGTCGATCTTGTCTACCTTGGAGAAGGTCGAATCCATGAAAGGTTGACATAACTGGTCCAGAATCGCCGTCAAGTTGACCATGAAACCATCCGATGCTACCTCCGTGGACTTAACTTGGAGTGCACGCCGTTTGTGGTTTGTGTTCAAGGCAAACGCAAACCAGTCAAGTGTGGCATTTCGGGCGGTCGCGCTGGCTCTGACGAAGGAATTAATGATGCCTACCAAGTCACCTTGATGGGCTTTGAGAGTCATCTGCAGCGCGCTCTGAGATGACTTCACATGACCTGGGGCAATTGTTCGTGCGCCAGCGAAAAAGACCCTGGTGACTTCGGTCTGTAGCGGAGAAATGCGGAAGAAGGGCCCTAGGATAGTGCTCGTCTCGCTTGAAAGAGCTATCTGCTCTTTCGACATGTCCGGGGTGGCGGTCGCGAGAAAGCGAGGATGTTGCGCAAGGGCATTTAAGAGGGGAGGGAATTTTGAATACGTAACCAAACACTAGTCCTGTTAGTACGCACATGGAAGTTAACGATCATTCAAGTTCAGGAAGACTTACGTTAACGTAAGGCTTATAGTCGTCGTTCATCGTCATTGTTGCCAGCTTGGTGCTCATAGCGACCATGGCGTCGGTGAAGACGGAAGCGACGGTATCATCCTCCGGAATACGAGACGTCGCCTCGGCAAAGAAATCCATGCAGATACCGTCTTCGTTGTCATGATGACGAAGAAGGTAGGGTACCAGAGTGTCGTGGTTGGGATTGGGCGCACGGCTTCTATTTGTTAGCATATGGATCCAGGCGCATATTATTCCGCGGGGAAGACTCATACCTAAATAACTCTGGCATAGTTAGAGCGAATATACAGTTACTCATGCACAGTCGCTTCGCCTCATTCACAACCGCTTCCTTCTCGGGAGGTAAGGGTCTGGGAGGCTTGGTGGCCCTAACAACACGCTTCCAGCACGGCAGCAGGTAATCGAGAATCGGCTTGGTCGTGGGTAGATGTCGGACTGCTTCCAACAGAGCAGACTCCACCGATGCGGTAGTTAGCTTGATAGGGTCGCCCGACTGCTCCAACTCGGCTCTGAGGTCTGGCAAGTATGTCAACTTGAAACCTCTGTTATCGGTCGTCTTCGTCTCATCTAGAGTGACACGGAAAATGTCGCCCAGCACCCGGTTCGTCCAATCCTCCAAGCTTTCCTCCTTAGTGATATGAACCTTCTTCGATGGAGTCGCTGGTTTATTCTTGTCAACAGCAGCACCAGCTGACCTTTTAGAGGTATTGGCGTTACCTGAGCCCGCATTTGCAATCTTCCCATGTTCTGACTTGCTTTTGGTACCTAGTTGAGAGAACGGGTTGGTCGATGCGGTCTGACTCTGGGAGACGGTGGTGCTTGGTCGGGTCGGTAGAGGAGTAGGGCGCGTGTTCTCTTGGTTCGTTGGGGTCTGGTTGGGTGGCGCATCTGGTGTCGAGGTCGAGGTCGAGGACCCGGACTTGGAAGCTTCTTGGGGCTTGGAGTCCGTCGAGGCTGATGACCCAAGACCGCCTAACTTCGCAAGTCGCCTCTGGCGCATCTAAAGATAGATTGATATTAGCTTGTGCAATAAAGAATATTTGAGATATGATCATCGCATACCTGCTCCTGCGGCGGGAGGGTCGGCGGTGGTCTCTCGTTAGGATCCATGATGTGTGTGGGATGAAAGTGATGGATGTCTCGAAAGTGAGAGTCCGGCGGAAGGATTAGTAGTTCTTGGGACTTTGCTATTGTAGAAAATGAAGAAGGAAACTATGCCGCCGTTTTAAATAGAAAAGAGTTGGGTGGGTAGGTTGTTAAATGTGATGCCCGTATGGAAGTACCGGTAAGGTACGGTAAGAATGTCGATGGCAGACAGGGTACACAGTTAAATGGACGTTAATGGAATGAGGTAGTAGCACAGTAGCCTCAGTCTGGTAGGTGATTTGGCAAGTGAGATTAGTCAATATCTTATCGATAATGCTCAGCTCTCTGATAAACCTAGCGGCGGGCAGTTAGGCGGGCAGGGCGGGGTAGGCGCGCCTCACAGTCTTACAGTGCCATTAAATTCATTATGTAATGATTAACTTTAAATTATTCGTAAGGTAGTTGCCAGCTGACGAATACAAAAGGGTAAGCTGCACGAAGGTTCCGGCCAAACTCTCACACTTCTGTCATGGCTGTAGACCCAGTGTGTCATTTGAAAATGAGCAACTGACCGATACTGTATTCGCCTCAAGCTTGGACTCAGTGATCCCAGCTAACATTTAGTGGGTAACTGCTATAGCCCAGGAAATTTAACCATCAAAGGAAAGTGCTTTACAGTGCGATGAGCGTCTAATACTACGCAGTCTGTTCATGAGCCAAATGCGCGAAACTTTTAGCTCTCAACGTCTTTAATTCTTTCTTTGTTTTTAAGTTATATATATTCCCAAACTTCGTTGGATTATGTCTCGACATTTCGAACTGAGAGAAATACGATTTGATAAATCATTTTCATCTTCGAAGTACGCTGCATAATCAAGGGTTACCAAATCGACACGTGAAGCTGGTTCCGGTTTTTTCTATCAGAGTTGAATAAGATAACATGATCCTGAAGCCAGGCATAAGATTGCTTTACTAACAATATCAATCACCCTGGTGAAGGTCAAAGAGGATGTAGCGATAATCCATCAAGGGTTAACTCGGAATTGCTCAGCAGAAGATTACCTACGAGATACCACTTAGCAGCTCCGGAGGAGGTTCATAGCAGCCGTATACACACAGCTTCAAGCTAGCTTGGTATCCATGAATCGATACCTTCCATCGACCATTTCGTTTCAAACGGTCCAAACGATGGGGACCGGGGCAAAATTAGAATAGACACGGGTCCGGCTTTCAGCTATCATGAAGGCCTACAAGCTCATGGCTATTCCCGTGCCCATCGAATCCATGGCCCCAACGCCAAATATATGCGACGTTCCCTTCAACTCGATGATGTTTCTAACCTACGCAGAACACCACGTCTGCATGCTTGCGTGGATCATACAAACTCTTAGTTGGCGACTTATGCGGTCTGCTACATGCAGAATAATCGCGCTGTTTCCATCTGGGTTTCTAGAAAGACATCGGCAACTTCATCATAAACTTAGGAATCGCTAATTTTATGCTATAGGATGTTAGCAACATGTGCCTGGAAATGGATTTTCACAACCTACAACTACCAACAATACGTCCTGTCATAAGAACAGCTTGTACTAACCTAAGCACCTCGCGAGTCTCAACTTTATTCTCTTCCACACGGTGTTCAACTTCGGGACCCCTCGATTATCGAACTTCGGATAATTTCGCAATCCTTATGAGGTGCTACCTGACCATGGATCTAGCCTAGACATGGCTGCCACTCGCTAGCCGCTCTACTCTTCTTCTGGAGAACCTTAGTCATCACGTCAGACTATAAATGAAGAATCACGAACCTCGCTGGGAAGTAATTCTTATATATTCTCATCATACGTATCGAGAGTTGGCCTTGGTAGATACTTTGGTATATGCTCTGACGTTGATCCTATGTACGCTTTGAATAGTATTAATTTCGCAGGTGCCCTCATGGTTTAAATATTCAAAGCACATTCATTTCTACTCGCACTGACCAATTTGTCCCTACAACGTTTATGGAAAATATTGACGATAGCATCAACGCACAGCTTCTTCACAAGAGACTAGTCCTACTATCTACTTCTTACTTCCAGCCAACACAACATGCAAATCATGCAGTAAACGATCCATTGTCACATGTTCTCATCTTACTCAACATGGACATATTTCCTAATCGAGGAGTTTAATCCTGTCAACAGTCATCTAGGATATAGGGGGACAAACATCCATAGAGAACTCTCGACCCTTTTGGGATGTATTCACGATTATATAGTCGCACGGCTTGGGCAATTTACGGCTGATAGCGTTTCACAGTGTCCTGTGGCTGTTCGCCTACAGCGTCAAGTCATTGGATCGGCGATTTTTCGTTCCTGCTGGTCCCGATATCGACCCTCTTCTCTCGATCTTGCACTCGTTATTCGCCACTCTCATTTAAATGTATACCAGTGAAGTAGGCAAGAGGGGATACTACATTATCAAGTGATGGCACTCCCTCGGCCAGCCCGGCTAGGATATCGCCTCGTTCTAGACAACGCCATTTCTACCTTGGGCGGCTGGAGCTCTATCGATACATATTCAGCCGAAAAAAAAGGCAGCCTATAAGCTTCTATATTCCTCGTTGTAAGCACGTACGTAATGTCCTACGACGACCTGGATTTCAGCAGTGATCGGAATATCTCGAACCGGATGGCCTCACGACCCAAGATAACGCAATCGGGGTTGATTAAATCTTTTCAGCTCCTCGGGGGTCATCTCGGCCGCCACAGAAATTTCTGTCTGCGCTGTGCGCTGTTTCAACGTTGAAAACCCCAACGCTCAAATCTTGCGAGGAACGCGTGGCCACCTATCAGCTCTGCGGCACTTCACATGAAATGATGTCGTATTTATCGCTTGAATGCGATATGGTGACTTCCCGCTGTATCTAACCTATTCTTCTAGAGGGATTCTGCGGGTGTCTGCAGACCTTCTCGACCTTCCATTGACGAAGTCGTACATCCCGTCTAGCTCGTCACCTTGTCCCATACGAGACTCATTATCGTCCGGCACGGGTCGATGCAGAACTTGTGCGACGCACACTGTCTTACTTGTGCTAGAAGTCAGGACGCCATCCGTCCCAAATCGTGCTCTCGGCACAACGGCGCCCTGTCGTGTGAAGCGTCATCGCATTGTGCCATGGCTTGCAAAAGCCGGAGGCTGCTAACGGGATATATGTATGTATATGTGCGCACATGGCAGATATATTGCAGGCGCCACAACGGCAAGCGACGCTACTTTTGTTTGAGATATTGGGTTCTGGTAGAAGCATCGCTCGTCGGAGAGTCTGGTATCCTTCACACTCGTTTAAGCGTCCTTCACCGCTTCCCGTCACATTGATCTTTCAGCTAGACCCCAAATATGCCTCTTATTCCTCGTCCTTACTCACCTCACATAGATATATACACATGATAGACGAGTTCGAGCTCTAGATTGTTTGCCATGGATGTTTGCCAACAGCGTCGACCGAATAAGCTTGGTCGCAGCATCAAGCAAGGACACCAAGATAGAGTCATCCAGAGAAATATCTTAGGTCCAGGACGGATTGGCCTTCGAGACGGACAGCAACCCTGCGTGAATAAATGTTACAATCAATTTGTTGAAGAATGGTATGGGAAGACGCACGGAGGCTTCGAGAGCGTCTGCGACCAACTAGCGCATGTCGAGTCTGATACGGAATTATTGAGGCTATATTGCTGCGACTCGACCAACTGTGGTGTCGCCACTGAGGTGAAAGGGCAGAGTCGTTCGTCCTCCCTCACGGGAACTGCATTCTAATCTTTAACTGACTCGAATCGCCAGCCAGCGTCGACTTAATAATTAATAAGTGTCAAAAGTGAGTTGCGTCACAGTAGTCGGGCTTGAAACAGCTATTAACACTTCTTAGTATTGGCAACTACTTGATTTATGATCCAGGGCCTCCCCAATCTAACGGCTTCAATTGCAGTACACTTGCGAGCGGTGAGTCTCCTTTCAACGCCTACTCCGTCAACTAGATCGTCTAACCAGGTCCGTTAATCCTAAATCAGGAGAGAGCGGGAATCCAACTCCATTACCGAGTAATAGCCCATCAGCAATGGAAACCACCATACCCAGCTCCTCATCCGCAGCAGCGGCCACATCCCTAAGCTCAGAGCTTAACTCGACCGCGTCGGGATTTGGCGCGGTGCCAAGCACGCCGACGGGCCTCACGGAGGGCAGCAAGGCCGCGATAGGGATTTGCTCGAGCTTGGCGATAATTGCGATCATCTTCCTCGTCGGCTACCTCATCAGCCGCCGTCGATCGCCTCCCAAGAGCTTCGCGGGTAACGCCCCTCCAAACGCACCCCGCCTCAATCGATCCTCCTCTGAGCCGCCGAGCGGCTCCCACACGCCGCTGATCACGCCGCCGCTCTCGGCTAAGGGGCCTCCGCTGACGCCACCCGCTCGCCTGAGCGATCGCAGGTTCTTGCCGCCGCTGCTTAAACAAGGGCAGGGTGGTACACCGAGTTCGTCTCTGGTTGACGGGATTGACGAACGCGCGTATTTACCCATCGCTCTGGGCTCACCCACGGAAAAGAAATCCGCGCTCAGACACGGGCGCCAGACTACCCCGAACGGCGTCGCCAAGTCCGCCGGCTCGCCATCACTCCCAACGGCCGTACACTTTGCTCCTCAACTCCTGCGCGATAGCGGAAGCTCGTATAGTAGCGGACACGGCGGAGCGTCGACAGCGTCGAATAAAGTCGACTCGGTGTATTCGGGAACGGCGCTGGTCCACGGGACCCACACACCCCCTTTATCATCACCCTTATCCCCGACCCGGCCCGCACGCCCGCATAACGCTAACGCGCGTCTCGAGATCCCAGACCTGGTCACGCCGGCCGGGCCGCCGCCCAGCCGCGCTCTTCCAGTGCCCCCGCCGCCGTACCACCCCGTCTCCCCGACTTTCACCGTGTCTCCCCTGACACCTTCGAGTCCCCCCACGTTACCATTTAGGCCCTTGGCCCTCGGCGATAGTACGCGCGCTTACAGCAGCTCACACTTAGGCACTGGTACTACGGATCATAAGGGGTATCCGGAGACCGGCGGCGGGTTATCTTCGTCAGCGAGAGACCTTTGCGATTTGACGGAGTCGTACGCGCGCGAGACGTCGGAGAGCTGGGGGAGCTGGAATGGCGGTGGGGGTGGCGGGCCGGGTGTGGGGATCGCGGCGGGGGGTGGTGGTGGGAGTAGGAAAAGGGGCAGTGGTGGGCGAGCACGGGATATTGTGAATGGCAACGGTGAGAAGAAGGGGGAACGGGGGTCTGTGGTGTCGTTGCAGGAGTTAGATCTGGAGAGCTTGGGGGGTAAGTATTGATGTGATACATGCATGCATGCATGGGCTGTACCATTGTGACAGTGGTCGAAATAAGGGCTAGGAATGAGGATAAGGGATACTGGTATAGGTATACGCACACGCGGCACCGGGTGATGGAGGCACAGTGATATATCCCGCTATGGGGATAATTCCGTCGTGGTAAAACGGTGGCTTTGTGACCGATGCGAGCTGGTAAGGTTATTGGATAATGGCTGACAAGTGGTACTGGGACTACCTGATACCACGAGCGAAAATTAAAGGACTCGATTTATGAGAAATAGGGGGTGTGTACGCGAAAGGCCTGGTGTCTATTAGGTAGACTAGCTTGAATCGTATACCTAAGCAGTGTTCGTGGTATTGTGGGCTTCTTGAAAATATTCGACCGTCCTACTAACTAGGGAGTCACACACTAAGAATTATATGGGTTACTCTAGTCAGTACCTACCTACGTATTCTAGGTGATATCTAATCCCAGGAATTTCGTAGAGTCTACCTCTTTTTAAAATACTGAACGATTCAGGAGCCACAAGGGTATCGAGGTGTTTGTACTTCGCAGGGTCTATCTCAAGGAGCAGAGGCACATACTGCACGACTGCGGCTGAGACTCGCAGACCCCTTTATACATACTTACATACAGATCGTTCGTAGGTATCTATTAAGCTTCGTCGTTATACCGTAATAGGCCTGCATGGGGCCAAAGTCCCGTGCCTTGCGACCTATACGGATGCGCACATACGCGCCCGCGTTGCCGTTTAAACGAAACGCTCAACACTTCTGATCAGTAAGGGGTGCGGGTCCATCCGTGGCTATTGGTCCCAAGTGTCACCGGACTGTGGGTCCACAGGAAGAACGTTTGCGATGATGGAGACGTGTTTATCGGAGCCGGTTCCATGGTTCTTATTGCTGCCCGACGAACCCTTCTAAGTTCGGTTCCGCCAATGTCCGTCTCGCTCGCCGTGGGGCCTCCGAACTTATTGGTTGGAGATCGGACACGACGGAGGGGCCGCCGACGACTTGGCTCGCTCTAACCACGCCTACGTTCCTCTTCACGTTTATATGTAGTAGTAGTAGGGTAAACGATTCGCCACGGGAAGTAAATCATGTAAGTAATGAAATACTGCCATTCGCGAGAAAAGGAAAAAAATATGATTCATCCATAGGTATGCAAGCTCGGGTTTGTGGGCGAAAAAGAAGGGCGGTGTGGAAATCCTCCAACTATGTATTAGACGCTCAGACCCAGATTTGTTTCTAAATCCGGGGATGAGAAAGTATATATAAACCTCTACCCCTAGTTACACGTCCGTCTTCGCACCCTCTTCTCTCCTGTTTTCTAGGTCTTGTTTATCTCTTTTCCTTTCTCTTGCTTTCTGGTGTATTTCTACATCTCACAGCAATGCGCATCCGAATTAATGTCTGCTCGTCTAGATTCTTTGAGATGATCCTCCCATAGCTTTCCTCACCAATGCGTCTAGTTGAGATTCCCTCTGCTTCACGCTGTCCTCGATCTCTTTATCGGACATTATCTTGCCTTGGACGAGTCTTTCCGTCGTCGTGCTGGGCATGGTGACGAGATAAGACCTCAGCATCTCCGATCCTTGTTGGCTTCTATCGTGTTGCCATGTTAGCAAGGGGATATTTCCCTCCAAGTAGTATTGACTGACTGGTTTCTAGAGACCTGGCTAGGGTTGACGGTAATTTGAGACATGGCTTGTCTTGTATTGACCTTTGCTGGCCGAGACTTAGGCTAAGACCTTAGGTCAAAGAGGCACTGACGGGAAAAATAGCTGGCGCCTTGGTTTGCTAAACGGTCGACTGAACCGGAATGATCTTGAGATGAGTGACTGATTAGGACTGGCGAGTGATGGTTCTATCTTGGATGTTGTCCGTCAAGACTCATCATCGACACGGTTTACGCTGTCATTTTATGGACCGTTACTACAGCGCGCGCCGAAGCGCGACAGCATCATTGAGGCTTTGCTCAAGACATTATGATCGCTTTCGAGTTATGAATCACCCATGAGAGGGGGCTTAACTCAAGTCCGTTCCGCGCAATATCGGTTACCCTTGGGTGGTCTACGGCCGGAGGGTTCGCGCTATTGAGCTCTTAGGTGTAAAGCTCGCGAAGGCGTGTTATGCACGATACCGGTAGGTCCTATCGCATTGCGTCTCCGACGACATTCCACGCAATCAGAATCGAGCACGTCGCTGCATGCGTGATTGGCAGGGCAGATTGTCAGCTTTGCGCATATCTCCACTTCGTTTTGCGCCGTTGCGCAGAACTGGCGATGCATAAATATGGTAATTTTGAGCTGAGGGGGAAGCTATTCATCTCGCCCCATATCCAACTCCCCTTCTCTGAGAACATTCAAGATATTCAAAAAATAAAGGGATCGGATAGATCGAATAAATCATTGGATATTTTGGATATTAATTTTGGCTACCTACTCAATATTGATTTTGACCTAAACCCCTTGGTTGTTAATAAATGCTGCTTATGAACGACCCCTGTTTCGTCACCTGCGTGATGACTTCGCATCATACTTAGGAGAAATGCTTCAAAGACCTCGAGATCTACTGACTTCTCACGACCCTTCAGCGAGTTCTGTCTCTAACCGTCACCGTTGCCTGTACCCCCACAAACAGCACGACCTCTATCACAAGCCTGTTGTAGCACGGCTACAACCGGTCCCCAATTGTCATATCAACTCTTTCAACACACTCGAGACTACTTGGAACGCGACTAAAGCGAAACTCGTTTCTCAGTGGAAGATTATCCACGCTCGTAGTCAGCGTCGCATCAAGCGAAGCATGGTCAAGCATTCGACCGCATTGAGGAATAGCATAACTAAGCTACAGCTACCAGGACCGACAAGCGCCGGTGACTCGGTAAGGTCCTCCAAAGTAGGGAAATGAGCCCATTCTTACCCTCGTCATAGCAAAGCGGGATAGCCACTTCGGCAGTTTGTCCCGACCGAGCACAAGCTTTGGATTCGCTTGTTGCAGAGACCGAATCTGTGGACGGAGGCTCCGAGCAATGTCTGGCCGATTTTGACGTATGTACGGAAGAACTGAATATACAGAAAGACGGATATAAACCTGGGGACCTTTCGCATAAAAAGCGCAGATCAGCCGATCCTATGGAGAGCGACAGGAAGGCAGGCGCTGCTCGAAGACCCAGCCATTGCCAACTCGACCACGAAGGTAAGAGGGCGCTGACGCCTGACCAGTACGTAGCCATCAAGAAGCAAGAGGCCATTGCGCTTGTAATGGCAAAGTTCAACCAGTGGTTCGATAAGAGGCTGGAGATTATTTCTTGGTTAGTATAAAATCGCCCCTCAACACTGCCACGACTCGCGCTGTTCTCCGAAAAGAGGCTGACATGCTTCTAGTATGTCACAACTCCCCACGTTATTTTGCCAACTCCTTCTCAAAGGTAAGGCGTCAGTTTGTGCTTGGAACGCTAACGATCTAAAGATGCCTATGAAGCATCTGAAGCTTCGGGGACTCCTTCGGGCTGCTCTGGTGGCGTAGGCTCCGGAAATAATAATTCCGGACAAGGTCAATCAGGTCGTTCAACTCGCTCTAAACGCCGACTTGGCGGAGACGACCAAGATGGCTCTTCAGCTGGTGGCGACGAAGGCGACCCCGACAGAGGCGGCAGTAAACGGGCTAAGAAGGAAGTAGAGGCCGAGAAGAAGTTCGCCTGTCCTTATTACAAGCACGATCCAAGAGCACATAACAAACACCGAAGCTGTGCCGGGCCGGGATGGACATCGCTTCATCGCTTAAAGTAGGTGTCAAAGGACATTAACTCGTGTCATCATACTGACAGCTATCTGACAGGGAGCATTTGTACCGCGCGCATAGGCTTCCGAAGCATACCTGCCCCAGATGTAACGAGCCCTTTGAAGATGCTAAGGATCTAGGCGACCATCTTCGAGCCGAGGAGCTTTGCAAGAAGCTAGACGTGGTCCCGGCACTGCAGGGCATCGACGAAGCTACCGAAACGAAGTTAAAAGTGAGAAAGAAGAATTGTCCCGGCATGACTGACGAGCAGAGATGGGGAGACATTTACATGATCCTTTTCCCGAAAGCTAACCCCAACGCCATGCCAACTCCATGTAAGCTGATTCGGGTGTTATAATGACGCGAAGATACTAACAATGTTGCAAGACTACGATAGCACTGACGCTCTTCGATTCTCCAAAAGTGTGGAAGAGTGGAAGAAGACCAAGAAGCGGATGCAAAAGGATCTGCCTAAGATTGTGCAGAAGAAGGTTGAGAGATCGTTCGACAAGGTACAGGTCGATGTGCTCAATGGACTTCCCGACATTATCCGAGACTGCTTGTTCGAATTCTTCAAAGACTCGTCACATGATGATCGGTCACCATCAGCTACTCCCGCCGCAACCCCGAGGGCCCATACGCCCAGTATCCCTACCGCAAGGGAGCAGCCTGCTTCAACAACGGAGGAAATCAAGGATACCTCGCTGGACATTTCGCAATACCTAGAGCCCAGCATGATGGGCGGATTGGAGGAATTTGACTTCTCCTTCATCGAATTTGGGAGTAATGCTGACTGCGGGTTTTTCGACAAGGAATCAGACTCTGGCTATGCTTCCACTAGCACCGGGAGAGGCGTCACTGTCGAGACGGAATTGTGAAGGTTTGGGAGATTCGAGCTGTCGTTTTCCTACCGTCGATATGCACTTGGACGAATGCGCTTACACTCCTTTTAAATGGCCCTCTCTTCTGTATTTTGCACTGGGGTAATGAGCGTTGGAATACCGATCACTAGCTCTGCGATAGAAGCGGTTTCAGATCGTTTATGCCGTTAGCATACACTGAACACTACGTTCGAATATTGACTCGTCTTGTTTGAATATGCCTCATTTGATGTTGTCATCATACCAATCCTTCACCTGCATGGGAGTTCATAGTTAAGTAACTTCTATACGTGTAGACCATGTTGCTGAACGCTAATGCGCGTGAAGACGTTGAAACTGACGTATATTCTCTCGACTCGTATATGCCTACCCGGAATAGCTAGAGTTGCAGGTTAAGCTTGAAGGTTATTTGGGATGAATATTATCTCTAGAGTTAAGCTGATTAGTATGGATGCTTCTTTTTACGATTATAGGCCGTAAAATGTTACGGCCGTGCTGTAAAACCTCTCCTTTTCGGATACTTGCTGTCTAATTCGTGATAGTTACCTGAATAGGCATGTGTGTCAAGCCAAGATCGCGAGATCGATGGGTCTAGCTTGCTTTAGCCGACGAGCACTAATGCAGGGCAACTTGAAGTGACCTGCAGTAAGACGTATGCCGACATCTTTCCCCATACTGCTATGCACCTATCGGTATGTGCGAGCCCTGGTAGAGCCTATCGGTGGTGAACAAACTTAAATGAAGAAAATGGCAATATTTTCCCTCCTTGATTGCCTGAAGCTTACTTCCTATCCTACAAGGTTGTTGAGAACATGTTTCGCTTCATAACAGAATCTTGCTCAACGTCCGTCTAGGATAAATCCGGGAAAAAAGGGATTATTTCGTACGAAGAGGTTCATGCCGTGGATAAACTGCATGGTCATGGCGTTCTTGACTGCGTCGTTGGCGCGACTTGGGTATATCCAAGCAATAAGTCGTTCCGGATAGACAGAGACGTCGATCATTTCTTAAGTGTTGATCCTGCGATGATTTGCGATATATGACATAATCGGCGCCGGGCCGATACCACGTAAGGGATGTTCAGCCCTTCAGCTCTTGGGTCGCTTTTAGACAGCCAAGACAGCAAACACAAAAGGAAATTACCTAGAACTGATGATAATAAGCTGAAGTAAAACATGAAAAGGAGAATAAGAAAACAATAGCCCTCATGTTAGAGAACACATTTCAGCTGGCAGCTGCTTGATCCGATAGAGGTACCTATCGAGGTATTCCAGGTTGGAAACTAACCTTGAGCTGAAATGGCCCTTCGGCTTCGGATGATTTGATTGGGATGAGAGCTGTCATTCGTCTATTCATGTGTGCGTGTTTGTGATGACCGGTTCATGGCGCGGAAGATGTTCAGTTCGAAGCCAATAGAGGTAGATGTCACATTGAAATCGGTGATTATTTGGAATATTCATAACATTATGCTTTGGTGGTCGCTGTCATTATTATGCAGCGTTAAACTAGGAGAGAGGATAGGACGGGCAGGACGGGGATCGACAAACAAAGGGATAGGCATTAGACGAAAGGAAAAGAAGACGGAAAACAAGATATTGATTAGCACAGGAAATTTGATTGCATCGTGAACAATTCTTAATTCTCCATGTGGCTGCCAAGTCTGTAGGTCTAAATGAAGTTCGCATGGTAGAAGTGGTACTGCAGACGTCTGCACCGGTTTTGGCACATGTCAATGTGGATTTCTGTAGATGTTCAGTGGAATTTGCAGTGTAAAGTGTTATTAGTTGGAGAGCTGATTGTAGCGATCCCCCTCCCGCAAGCCACCAATAAATTGTGCCATGTGGGTTTGTGGATTTCACGGATTTGGACTTAGTGTGTGCATTGACCCCTATTTACCCCATTTTGTTCATTCTGGCAGGAAGCTACGATGTACTTAAAACATGTATCTTTTATATACCGGTACTTATAACACCGCACATACGACGCTGGAATTCAAAGTCACCAGGTTAGCTGGCCAGGCTGGCTAGCCTCACTTGATGCGGTGATGGTGATACATTATGTAGGTAGTACAGGTACGACATGTACAACAGGTACATCACTTTTACGGCTTTAGCACCGCGAAATGCAAGACTCAATTGTCCAATTGGATGGTGTTCCAAGCCTTATGCTGTTTCCTCAGTGGCTCGATTATCCTGCATCAGCATGCGAAGCCTGCAAGCCATGGTTCTGTTTGCTCTCACAGCGTCAGGGGCCGACGCACTAATTGATTTTTTTAATTGTTATTTTCTTTAGCGTTCCCCTTGCCTATCCTGTCTGCATATCCACGCCGTCCGTGATGGATCTTTCTGCGACTTGTCGTTTCGCGCATCTCGATACCAATTCATAAAGTACTAACCTAACTTAGACACAGAGTAGTATCAGCTAAGGTTCTTTGGGGGCGGGCTCGAAAATAAGGATCGGGAAGATAGGAATAACAATACATTAATCGATACTAGTGGACGGTTTAGAAGTTACTATGTACATAGAACCTTCAGCCACCCCTGTTCCTTGTCAAAACTTTGACCACTCTTGAGTATCAAAGTTCTTCAGTGCCTATACGAGAGATAAACCAAAAACTTCATTACCCTATTGTGTGTGAATACCCTCTTTTTTAACATTCTGCCGGTCTTCGTCTTAACTAACAAGCTTCGACTATCTGAACAATTACTTTCCTTCGCCAGCCCATTTTCTTTTTCATTTGTTTGATCTTTGATACCCCCCATCCTCTTCCATCACTTTTTGATCTTTTCTAAACCATCTTCTAATAATTCCCTAACTCGAACAAAAAAACCGTCTACTTCCTTCCCCCGGCCCGTACCAGCTACCAGCCACATCACGACTAGCGGCGTTTTGATTCAGAACCAAATTAGCGACGGCGGAAAAAAGGCTCTATGAGACGAGTCGTCAACCCATCGCATACTTTCGTTTCTAGGTCTCTATTTGTAACAAGCTTCCGTCCGGTCACTTGTCGCTCGCCCGCCGCTATTTCGAAGGAGCCGAACGAATCCTTCTGATCCCGCTCTCCGCTCTCCGTACGTACCCGCGTGAGAAGCTAGGCTAGATTATACACGTTTCGCTACCGCCTCATATGCGGTTGACCGACCCGCAGCTACGGTGCGACTAACCGCTCCAATGCCCTGGCAACCGCTGCCCCGTATCGCCTTCGCCGTCGCGACCTATCCCTTCGAGACTAAGAACGAGAATGAGCTTCCCTTAGAGATCGGCGATGATCTATACATCATCGAGGAGACGTCCGACGGCCAATGGCTACGGGGATATCTATTGGCGCCTCCCTCGCTTCTGGCCGGCTTGACTTCCGTCAAGGGCCAACCCCTCGAAGCTCGCGTCTTCTCCGGCATATTTCCGCGCAGCTGCGTCGAGATACGCGAGGTCCTAGGCGACGGCGACGAGAATTCGGAAAACAGTAGCAACTACCAAGTAGATGATGATGCGCAGCCGATTGGCAGCGACTCCGGAAAGAGCGGAGTGGCCCCGAGCACGAGAAAATCATACGCCAGAGAAGGGGAAAATGGCAGTAGACCGCATAAATCAAACGGTATCGCGCCAAACGGGGCCATCTCGCGAATTACCGAGTTGAAGATACGCGAACCGGGCGTACCTAAGCCAGCCGCGCCGGTCCCGATGCTGAGGCTGGGTGACGAGACGCCTACCTCTACCATGGAGCCCTTGATAGACGAGATCGCGTCATGCCTGCGCGAGTGGCACTCGACAAACTTCCACGACCTTCTCCTCACTAGGCAATACACCAAGCTCGACAAAGTATCCCAGCTAATTCAGACCCTGGATTTGTCGAGGCGGCAATTCCTGCACAACCTACTCACAACCCGCGAATACAATGCGCTCCGGGAACGGACGGTCTGGGACTTGGTTAGAGGAAATAAGCTCTGCGGAGGAGAGGTGATCGTGCGCGATCCTAACGAGAGAGGTCGAGTCCTAACCGGCGACGACTCTGTTGTGGAAATCACTAAGCTGCAGTCCGTTATGAGCTTGTTGGACGAACCCCCGCAGCCACATGTCGAATTGTCCGCGTTGCACCACCTAATGGTCGATATCCGAAGCTTTGCTGGCTCCTCAAACGATCCCACAACGTTGGTGCTGTACCTCGTCAGCAAATCGGTCGGGGGAACCCTGACGACGCTCTCGGAAAGCTACATGATCGAGGTACCGTCCGGTGGCACGATGGGCTACTTAACCAGGAACCCCCAGATGCGCACTTTATTCACCGACCTGACCTCCGCTGATATCGGCGACGGGCCGTCCGCGGACTCCGAGCTGTACCTGATAGTGAAGGTCCGCTCACCGCAGCAGGTTACCGTAGGCAAGCCGGTCTCGAGGTCGGGATCGTTCGGCCCGCCTAGCACGCCGTTCTCGAAAGACAAACCCCCTTCTTCCGGCGGTAATAAGGCTTCCAGGAGGAGCTTGATGTGGGGGACTACGAGATCGGCGTTCTCTAGAGGAGGACCGAAGCTCGATTCCCTCTCGGAGCAACCCGAAGAGCGACCAAGAACAGACGGTCTCGACAGCAGAGACGGAGCGATGCCCCCGAGCACGGCCGGTTCAAGAGCGGCGCGCCCTTCCGTGGACGGACCGCAGCCGACGCAGATGATGGCGGAGAGGATGGTGGGCATGGGCGTGTTAAGTCTGAATTCGATCATGAAACAGGACGAGGAGACGGAGCACGTGGTGACGGTATGGTCGCCGTCCGCGAAGTTCACCGCCGAAAAGTACGACGCTACCGAAGGTTGGGACGGCATGGTCCGCGATCTTCTAGAAAGCAAGTCGGGCCACTACGAGAAATCGAGAAGAGCAGAACGGTTGCAAATTCACCTGAGGTCTTTCAACAGCCCCGACGCCGACGCTCTTATCAAAGCGACCCCTACTTTGCTCGCCGGCATCAGCAAGACCAACAAGATGGGGTTCTCCGGTGCGCCGACAAAGCCTCGGTCCGATATCTATGTCACGGTTACCGAAGCCCTCTTGGCCCGGCAGAACCTGATCTCTCGTTTCGGAGCTAGCGCTACGACTATTTCGAGTAACGTACACGGCGCAAATCTCATGGTTTCCATGGAAGTTCGGCGGTTGTCGGGAGAACGAATCGAGGATTGCATATATCCCTCCTCAAATTCGGAGCCGATGAGCACGTGGCGCTCGTTCGCCGTAGAGCGCGGCGAACATTGGGACCAGACTCTTCGGTTGTCGCTATTGCCTGCCGATGTCAGCATGGCGCACGTCGTCTTGACCGTTTCTGACTTGCCTAGCACGCCATTTGCGATTGCTTACATGCCATTATGGGACCAGCAGGCGTTCTTGGGTGACGGCATGCATTCTCTCCTCCTCTACAAGCTCGACGAATATACGCAGACAGCGCAGGCCGGGCCGGCAGGCAGAGGTGGATATTTGACTCTTCCTTGGAGCGCTCGCAGCGACTCTAGCGAAGTTACCGGTCCGCTCGCGACGCTTCGAATCGAAACGTACCTTTGCAGCACGAGATTCTCGCAGGACCGAATCATTCTTGGCTTGCTGAAATGGAAAGAGGGTCCCAGGGATGAGATTCCGTCCTTATTGAAGCAGCTGATATTTGTGCCCGAGATCGAGGTTGTCAAACTGTTGAGCGATGTCCTGGATGGCCTTTTCGGTATTCTAGTTGAATACCAAGGCAACGACGAGTACGAAGACCTCGTTTTCACGGCCCTCGTCAGAGTCCTGGGCATAGTCCACGACCGTCGGTTCAACTTGGGCCCCTTGGTCGACCACTACGCCGAAAACAAATTCAACTACCCTTTCGCTACGCCTTGCCTTGTGAGATCCTTTACGCGACTACTGACGAAGCCGACCGAATCAGAGACCGCGCGAAAACTGAGAGCCACCCTTAAAGTCGTGCGCCATATTCTGAAGTTCATCACGCACGCGAGAGGTCAGCAAAAGGTCAAGGAAGCCGGTATTGGTATTACGGGTAGCACTGCCGGCTTTACGCGACACCTGCAGAGCATCTTCAAGGCTCTCGACTCGATGATGCGAAGCACCGCGCCGGTCCTGGTCGGGAGCCAGACGTTGGCGGTGCAGCATTTCCACACCTGGTTACCCGAGCTCACGGGGTTGCTTACGACCGAGGAGATTCTTCACATCGCTATCGACTTTATGGATTCGTGCGCTCTAGTCAAGGGCAAACTGGTATTGTACAAGCTCGTACTGATAATCAACTATTCTAAGCTAGATCTCTTCTCCGGCCCAGAGCAACGATCCGCCCTCAGTGCCAATACCGTGAGGTGGATCGCGCCGCATTGGGGACAAGTAGAAGAAGTCACAGAGCAATGGAAAGAGCAGGTGCGCCTCTGCTGCTCGGTTCTATCTAGTCAGGTCGATCATCTCAATGCCGAGATCCCGGACTACATCCCGAAGATCGTAGGGTCGTATCTGTCTATTCAAGCTACCGAGCTAAAGCCAAAGAACCGATTCTCGCTCCTCTTCCCCGCGACCTATCCGTTTCCCAGCAAGCAGATATCAGGCGATGCCGTGCAGTTTGACGAGGCCTTGATAGAGTTGTCGGCGATCCTATCAGCGCTCGCGAACTCGCCGAGCGGGATGCAGCTCGAACTGGCGGCGGACGACCTTACGAGCCTCCTAAAGGATACTCTAAACGTGTACCTGAGCATTCTCCAGGGAGAAGCCTTCCCGTCGAGCTGGCTCAGCGTGTACATATACCACCACAAGTCTACCATGAGGACGTTGCAGTATCTTGCTAGCATCCTCCTGGAATCTTTCTTGCCTCACCCCGACGAAGCGGAAGACTTCGACACCGAGCTATGGCGGATGTTCTTCTGCACGTTGCTCAAGCTCGTAGGTAGCGGACACTTAGCGCTCGAAACATTTTCGGAGCAGAAGCGAAGAGCGGTTTGGAAAATTGCCGGCGACGTCAGAGAACATGGTGCCGACTTGCTGAGACGAACCTGGGAAGCTATCGGGTGGGAGACGAGCCCCGACGAGCGAATGCGATACGGACTGACGAAGATGGGAGGTTACCAAGTCCAGTACGTGCCTACGCTGGTCGGTCCCATAGTCGAGCTCTGCTTGAGCGTCCACGAAGGCCTTAGGAGAATGGCCGTGGAGGTACTCCAGACTATGATCGTTAGCGAATGGACACTGAGCGAGGACCTCTCCGTCATACAGACGGAGATGATCGACTGCCTGGACGGATTTTTCAAGGATAAAACCATGACGGAGAGCATCTTGCAAAAGCTGTTCGTTAGCGAGCTTCTCGAACGATTCGAGCCGCTCTCTCATATCCCGGGGGATCCACTATATTCTGCGCTGAAGGGTCTCATCGAAACCATCGCCGAATTCCTAGACCTCCTCGTCGCGGTTCACAGCGGCGACACCACGAGCGAGGCTTCTCACCTGATTAATCGCTTGCAGCTCATGGAGTTCCTCAGAGATATGCAAAAGGAGGAGATATTCATCCGCTACGTCCATCAGCTGGCCGCGTTACAGTCCGACGCCAGGAATCACACCGAAGCCGGGCTAGCCCTTCGCCTCCACGCTGAGCTTTACGATTGGGACCCGTCGAGATTGACGGGCTCCCTAACGGATCCGGACCTTCCAGAGCAGTCGCATTTCGAGCGCAAGGAGCGCATCTATTTCGACATGATCAAGCACTTCGAGGACGGGGAAGCGTGGAGCAGCGCCCTCGCCGCTTACAAGGAACTTCAGGCTCAATACGAGAACAACGTCTTCGACTTCGCTAAACTTGCGAGGACCGAAAGAGCCATCGCGACAATCTACGAAAAGCTAGCCAAGGGCGATAAGCTCGTACCTAAGTACTTTAAGGTTGTTTACAAAGGTCTCGGTTTCCCCCTGAATCTGCGCGACAAGGCATTCGTGTACGAGGGTTCGCCGACGGAGCGTACGTCGGCTTTTACAGATCGTATGCAGGAGCAGTACCCGGCCGCTCAGATCCTCACATCTAGCGACGTCGACAGCGAGGTCGAGGGCCAGTACCTCGTGATCTCGGCTCTCAGCCCGCATCGCGACCTCGGCCACCAGGTGTTCCAGCGGGCTAGGGTCCCGCAGCCTATCCGAGATTATCTGCTCTCCGCCCACGCCCAAATGTTCTCGGTGTCTTCTAAGCGCAGCACTAACGGTCCCGTCGAAACCCACTTCGCCGAAAAGACGGTTTATACCGCAGCCGAGCCCTTCCCTACGATCCTGCGACGCAGCGAGATCGTGAAAGTCAGTACTATACGACTGAGCGCTAAGGAGACGGCCCTCGAGCGCATCGTCCGCAAGACGCAGGAAATGACGACGGTCGAGAAGCGGCTAGCCGAAGACGACGACGAAGAGATCGCGCAGCTCATGGTAGACGCCATCGCCATCTCGGTCGACCCCTCCTCGGAGAGCAGCGTTGCCTGCTACCGCCAACTTCTGCCCGTCCCCCAATCCGAGGACGAGGACGAGCCGGAACTCGACCCGCAAGAAAACGCGATCAAGATGGCGCTCGTCGACCACGCGATCATGATCAAGAGGTGTTTGACGAGCTTTTCTCGCAGCTCAAACCCCGTCCTCCTGAAGGGATACGAGGACTCTTATAAACGTAAGCATCCATCTCCGTCTTACCTAACGTAGCTAACACGACCCAGACTTCTTGTCGACATTCGCGCCGGAGATCGCAATATTTGCGCCCGTTCAACCATCCCGGGAAACCGCTACCAATACGCCGTCGCCAACTTGGCAACGGGGCTCTCCCACCAGCGAAAGCCATCCCCAGGAGCATAAGCCCAGCGCCTCGCTAACAAACGGTACCGGCATCGTGGAAGAAGCGGCGGCGCAGCCCATCTCTATGAGGCAACGCGGGACGCGACTCAGCTTCTTGGGCGGCAAGAAGAAGGATTCTCAACAGCTGAACGGCGACGCGACAAATCTGCAACAGCCAAAGGCTGACAGCGATTCTAATAGCCAAGTAAGCAAAGGCAAGGATAACTCGAACCGAAGGAGCATATTCCGCAGCCAGTCAAATGACACGAATACCAGCTCGAATCAATACGCCCAACCCTACCCAAACGGAATCGTGGACCCAACCACGCCGGATTGGGTGATGGACCGGTCGCGCAAAAGTAAAGAGATAGTCGACGTCGTCGAGAGGGACTTCGATAGGCCTAACGACGGCGGGATAGGGTTCAATTCGGTCAGAAAGAGGCTAAGCATGTTAAAGCTAGGAAAGAAACCGAGCAAGCCGAACGGCTTCTTCATGGGAGGGGTAAACGAGGAGCCCTAGCAGGTCCCAGCTCGCGATGCTGGCGTGTACACAACGGACGTCGGGAGTAAAGGGAGGGGGGAATACCAAATTTGGCGGAGCAGGATAACGAGAAGCTTGACGAACAAAACTGGCGTTCAGGACTATCATTTTTGACGAACGGGCGAAGTGGCGCCGGAACTTGACTGTCGCATCGATGCTATTTACCCGCGCTGGCGGACTCTTTTTTAGGTGTTGTTTCCATTCTTCTGTTCTTCGATAAGGGCTGTCGACAACGACGATCTCTCTTCTCGGCCCGTGGGAAAATCAGTAGACCTACGCACTTCCGGCAACGAAGTTTCAATTTCATAAGTCAAAAAGAGTGTTTTGCAGATGATCAAAGTCGGGATTATCATCTCGACTCTTATTCTATCTATATAGGAATTGAATTGTATGTATGATCTTTAATTATCAAAATACGTAATCTTACGGCCTTTTCGTGTTCGCTTCTTTCGGGCTACTTTACCATGTATTTATATTCCGTCGACGTTTTAGCAAGTTTTGGCAGGTCAGCGACCTTCCGTCTCGCTAATCGTCCGATGGAAGGGTTGGATAAACCAATTAGGGTAGAGCAAACTCCCCACTTGATCGGACGTCTTGGTATGCAGTAGCTCCCTATCACGAAACTGCCGGATAAATTAGAAGGGCGTCCACATGTATGAATAATAGGTACCTAGTAGGTAGGTAAGTAAATCGTTCGACGAGTCTAACCCGAGAACGGTCCGCAATCATTTCGGAGCGTGCGGGATACTCGGTGGGCGATAGCCAGTGATAGGTGGTTCAATTATTCGCTGACCTTCCGGGAGAGGTGAGGATCGGTCGCGATGTGTCAAATGTCTGTCCAACAGCAGCAAGGAAACAGACTGCGACCCCTGTCTACATCTGGGGTACAACTTTTGAGAAGCCTCCAGTGTGCGACCTTGTTTTCTCGGCTTACAACCTGTTTTTCGGGCCTGGCCCACCGTGGCATAATCAGTCCAAGTTCAATCAGTTGTTCATGGTTATTTTTGTTTTCGCTGTCTCATGCTATAGGGGTACGGATGCATGTCTCTTGAAACATCCCTAGCTATTTAAAGACACATTGAAAGACACCCTGCTCTTAGAGTCGCTGTCGTCATCCCGTCCTCGTAGCCGACTGGCTCCCCCACGTAAATCTTCCCAAGCTCCGCGAAATCTTGTTCCTGCAGATCCTTGGCCGGACCCCTGACACCACTTGCATCTTCTTAGGCCACGTTCGCATTGCGGATCAGGACGTAGAACTACGATTACTTTAGCATGATAAAGATACCGTTCACGATCAGCCTCCCACCGCATAGGACGTAGAATACAGCTGTAGTTCGGGCCGTTTCATCGAAGGTACGTAGCACCGACCTAGCCAGGAAGATGATGCGTTTGCCGCGTTGAGAGTGGTGCTGCGCGTACCCATGTGGCTTATCCCGTGCTTAGGGAGCCTAGCATCGCTTAGGAATCTCGGACGGCAGCGAGGCAACTGGCTGAACCCAAGCCGTCGATCCTAGCTCCATCTGGCGAATCAACGCACCGAACGTCCTTCTCCCGGCTTGGCGGGGTTTGGGGACAGTGATCCCTCAATTCAGCAGCAACACGGAGCTTCTATAGTAGGACGGACGGCGTGTTTCGTTAGGATGGGCGTGGCACAGATAACTGACGGTGTCCTTTTCCGCCCTCGGCTTTCCTCCTCGGCCCTTTCTCACGTTTCTCTGCCCTCATCTAGTTTATCCATGTGGCATTCCCCCCCTGATTGCCTGCCTCGCCATTCCCACGTTTCTCTAATTGAAACAAACTTACCTCATCTACCGATCGGGCAACCAGGCTAATATATTGCTTACGTCTCACTTTTCATATCGAAATCCAAGCAGGTGCTCACAAGGCCACGATTCAGAGAGCTCCGGCAGAAGGGCTCTCCCTACATCAATATAGACCAATATGCGAAACAGAGCCTCTATGGTCCGGAGATAGTAACGCTAACGACGAACAATGATGCGAACCGTATCGAACCGGGTGCTAGCTCTCGCATTCCGCTACGGCTCGGTGCTCCTAGCCGCCCTGCTCGTCTACTATGTCATTCGCGAACCCCTGAACTCGGCCGTTAGCAACGTATCGTTCCTCGGGAAGGGAACTTTGCAAGCCGCCGAGCAAGGGTCCGGACGGGACGGAATTGCGGCCGTCGGAGGCGCAAAGGCCGTCGACGACGACGCGCAATTAGCTCCGGCCGGCACGGCCGAAGACGTCCCAGAAAAGAAAGCGCAGGAACCGATGGGCGATGTCGACATCGTCTACGAAAAGAAATACAAGCCCGATCCGGCCCCTTCCAAACCGATCGGAGACCACTTCCCGTGGCTCACGTATTCTAATACGCCGCCGCCGGTCCTCGACAATAACCTACCTCCCTTCCCGCACGTCGAAGAAGCGACGCCGCTCTTGATCGGCTTTACGAGAAACTGGCCGCTGCTGCTCCAATGCGTGAGCAGCTATATCGCGGCGGGGTGGCCGGCCGAGGATATATACGTGGTCGAGAACACGGGCACGTTCCACTCGAATCGCGACGGAGACCTAGAGCTGCAGAACCCCTTCTTCCTCAACCACACGGCGCTAGGGATCCTAGGAGTGAAGGTCCTAGAGACGCCGACCCTGCTTAGCTTCTCGCAGATGCAGAACTATTTCCTGAGCCTGGCGCTGGAGCACGATTGGCCTCACTTCTGGTGGAGCCACATGGACGTGGTGGTCTTCAGCGACGAGGACGTCAAGAAGAACGACCGCGACCACGACTGGGACCACGACCCGTACGCGACCATCTACGAGCGCAGCGTCGGGCTTCTGAGGTACCTCAACGGCCCCGACATGCCTCCGTGGGCGACGCACTTCTTCCAATTCGACCACCTCGCCCTCGTCAACCGCGACGCCTACCTCGAGGTCGGCGCCTGGGACACGCAGATCCCGTACTACGCCTCGGACTGCGACATGTACCTACGCCTGCACTGGGCCGGGTACTGGCAGCCGCAGAGCGAAGCGGGGCTCGTCTTCGACGTCGCCTCGGCGTTCGACGACATCGCGGCCCTGTTCCGGGTAGCGGGCTCGCACGCGACGTTCGAAGGGGACCCGGTGTACGCGAAGAGCACGCCCGGCAGCAGCGAGGACGAGCGCGCTCACCACGAGGCCGACCTCAAGCGCGAGCAGGACATGTACCCCTGGGTCGAGAAGGAAGGCGAGACGTTCGCCCACCTCGTCGAGGTCGCCGGCCGCATGCAGGACCTCAAGTGGAAGGACGAGGGCACCCGCCGCAACGAGTGGCAGACCCGGCAGACGGGCGGCCGCGACGATCCGTTCTACCGCGACCCCGAGGGCTTCGCGGCCGGCGTGGAGACCCTGGTCGATGCCGGCAGGCGCGTGTTCGCGGATAAGTGGGGGCACCGCGGATGCGACCTCTTGGCCATGGGTATCGAGGGCAAGGACGCGTGGCGCCTGCAGCGTGATTGGGATATCAACGAGGGCCCCGGGAGCGAGGGCGGGAATTGGGGTAAGGATTGGATGACGGGGAGCGACGGGGAGTGAGCGGAGGTGGTGAGAGACTAGGGCTGAGTACCGAACGAAGCACAAAGGAAAATGAGAACGGCATAGAGCGATAGCAGATACGGATACCTAGAAGTAGAAGGGAAAGCTCCTTGATCAAGGGAAGGCGGTGGTTTTGGGTTGTGTGTACATACCTACCTACGTATCCTACGGCGTTGGCGGATGGACGGAGGGGAGCACAGTCCCCCCTGGCGTTATATGGGACGATTGGTTTGTTGAAAAGCGCCTGCGCATGTATTGTTTATAGTAATGACCCAGATACGAACTCTTGATAGGAGGCTTCCTTGTTAAGGCGTGTGTATTGCAGGTCATAGGCGATGAAGTAGACTCATGCTATCCCCCGCTCCCCCCCCTCCCCCCCTTTCCCGGTACGGTATATAGCTTCCAATGCACCTAGCTATTTACACTTCGTAAGAGCTAGAATATGTCGGGGAAATATTTCTCTAGTTGCACCCAAAGCCAGAAGATAGGTACGTTTTTGTTTGCCCATAGCTTCTTTCTTACAAGCACGAAGAGTGATGTCTATGTGGGAGCATGAGCAATTTAACGATACATAACAGTGTCTTCTGTCCATAGTTTAGTATAGAGACGTCCTTAGAGGCTCAAAGGTGGCCTCGTTGACGATACACTACCAGATCAAACCAAAGAACGTGTCACCCTATCCACCTCTGCGAATCGGCAATGAGGATCTACATCGCATAGCATTTACTAGTTGATAATAACGTAGACGTGAACCCGGTTGTGTTCTTGTAGTATGTATGTGTGCCTCGTTGCAGACGCGGCCAGACGCGGCCAGACACGACGCATGCGACGCCGACTTTCTAGTAGGGCCGACTGAGTTCTAGTCCTAACTACGGTTGCAACGAGGGTTGCATGCCTGGGTTGCAAGGCTGCATGCAGCACACATTGAAAATCTATAATCAATTTAGATTCGCGGACTCTTCTGGGTTTTATGCTTGGTAAGGCTTTTATTAAGCACAAGTTCATTTCCCGACCCTGCTCACTTACGACTTATTCACTCAGGTCTAGATTTTTCAAGATTTTTCGATACGACACCTATCGCGAGACTTAGTAAATCATTCACGTTTAATTATGACTACCCAAATAGGTACCTAACGAGAGGCTATGTCCGATTTATCCATGATAAACATATCGATGGTTCAACGACCGCTAACCTGAGAATCGGGTAGGGAAAGAGATATATCCGTCTGTCAGAAGCCTCCTTTGTGAGAGCTGATAGTCAGAGGTCTTGCCAGGATTAGCTAGTACCCAGAAGGATCATGAATCGGCTTGTACGAGGCCGCCCTGTTGACAATTAGCCCTTGGCTGTGGACAAAGGAAGGTCTATGTATGTATACCGCATCCCTTGGAAGGGAGTCGTTAGAGCTTTCCGCGCAGCAACGTCGCTATTTCTTAACCCTTTAGTTCCGCCTTGCGACAATGCCAAAAATTGGAAGAGTAATCCAGGCAATCTTAATTTTAATGATCCGAGAAACATACGTAGATAATACGTGACCGAAGTAATCAAGATGCTGAAGTCAGTCAGTTTCGATTCGAAGAGTTTAAAGCGTCTTCATCCCGGGACATTTTTGAGAAAAGGGGCTCTCCTGAGGGATATCAATCCATCCGCATCATTACGTCTTTAAAGTCTTCGATGCTTAAAACCCCATTAGCTTACATTATACATTCTTAAATGTCATGTTTTTTTCGCAAAATTCCAGAGCCAACGTAAATGGGCTTGTGGGAGATATAACAAACTTGAGAAGAATTCTCCAACAGTTCTACCTCTCCCATGCGGATAAATTATGGTCAGTATGCAATGGGAGGTTGCCAGGATTGGGCAATTCTAAGCTTTATCGCGGAATATTGCTTGAACATAGTGATGTAGCAACATGAGTATTATCATGATTTCAGTATCGGAAAGGTCAACTACAGCGTTGATATAAATTGTTGGAGCATTGGACGTTATCGAAAATAAGCGGTTTACAAGTTATAAAATAATTAATTAATTATAATCGTGAATTATAAGATAATTACTTATTTAATGATGTTGGTAAGGCTTAAATAATGTATTAATAACGTGTATAAGGTGTATATTAATTAAATTAATTATATATAAAATTAAAATTATATTACGCGAACGGTAAAAATAAATTAAAATAATTTACTTTAAATCGTATAAATTATAAAGTTTTAATTTATTAATTAAAATTATATATTATAATTTTAATATTAATAATTTTTTATTTTTATTTTTTTTTATATTATTACGTAAATTTTTAAGCCATGCGTTAAAATTTTTTTTTAAAATATAATATACCACGTTATTTATATTTTTTTTTTTTATAATATTAATTTTAATTTATTTTAATTATTTAAATTAAAAAAAATTAAAAAAATTAAAATATTTTTACATTATTTTATAAATTTATTTTTTATATAACCGAATTTATATTAACGTTATTATTATAATATTATTAATTAATATTTTAATATTATTTTTATTTTTATATATTATAAAATAATTAATAAATATTTTTATATTTTATTAATTATTTTATAATTAAACCATTTTAAATATTTTAATAAAATATAAATAATACGTTTATATTTATAAAAATTATATTTTTATATCGTTTTATTACGTTTATATTATAAAAATAATTATTAATATATTATTTTAATATTTTAATATTTATCCGAATACCGTTAAAAACATATAATAAAATTTAAAAAAATATTTATTATAAATAAAATTTAATAAAAAAATAAATAAAAATTATATAATTTATTAACGTTATAAACTTACGAAAAAAAAAATTAAATATTTTATAAATATTATTAAAAATATTTATATTAAATTAAAAAAAATTACCGTTAAAATTCGTTTTTTCCGTAAAATTATTAAAAAAGTTTCCGTTTTTTTTAAAATATATATTAATATACGTTTCATTAATATTTTTAATTAATTTTCTTTTTTTTTAAGGAATAATTAAATAATATTATTAATTTTCGAATAAATTAATAATTAATTATTTTAATTCGTCGTTATTTATTAATAATTTTTAAAAATAATAATATAAAATTATTATAATTATATTTTAAATAATATTTTTTTTTTATTCGATATTTATATTAAATTTAAATTATTTTTATTTTTTTTTATTTAACTTTATAATTTTATTATTAAATAATTAATTTTAATAAAATTTTTTAATATTTTATTAACGTTTATTTTAATTATTATATCCGTTAAATTATTTTTATTATATATTTATTAAATATTAAAAGTTTTTCGGCACTTATATAATTAATATAATAATATAATATTTATTATTAATTTTTTTTTTATCGTTTTAAATTTCATTAAATATTCGTATAAAAAAAAATTAATATATATAATAATTTAAATTATTAAAAGGTTAAGTTTTTTTAAAATAAAAATAATTATTATATTAATTATTATAATTATATTTATACCATATATTATTATATAAATTTCATTTATTAAAATATTTTTTATAATTTATTTACATTTCGTTAAGTTTTAATATATAAAATTTTTTTTTATAATAAATGATTCGTTATTTATTATTTCGTTCGTAATAAAAATTTCGTAATTAATTTAAAAACTTAAATTTTTATTATTTATAAATAAAACATTAATAAATATAAAAACTTTAATAATTTTTAAATTTAATTTAATAAATTATAATCCGCGTTTAAAATTATTTTATTATTATTTTAATCGTTTATTAAATTTTAAAATATTTATTTTATTAGGTTTATAATATTAAACCGTTTTAAATATATTAAATATTATTTTTAATTAATAAATCGAAGTTATATACACGCCGCGGGTTTTTTATTAAATATATTATTATATAATATTATTAATATTAAGTTTAATAAGGTTAATTTTTTTGTTTTATTTTTTTTATTATAAATATAAGTCGTTATTTTATTTTATAAATAAAATATAACCGTTAAATATTAATAAATTTTTTTTTAATAAATACGTTTTTAATTTTATTAAATATTTCGTTTTATTTAATTCATTGTTTTTTATTTATTTAAATATATTATCGAATATTTTAAACGTATTATTTATTTATATTTTAATAAATTTAAATTATTTCGTTAAATTTAATATAAATAAATAAAAATTATATATTAACGTAATTATATTTAATTTATCTTTATAATATTTAAAATATATAATTTATTAATATATATTAACTTTTAATATTTCGTATAAAAATTTAATAATAATTATTATTATATTTTTAAAATATTTATTAACAAGTTTTAGTAATAGTTTAATTAATATTTATTATTTAAATAATATATTAAATTATATATAAGTTTATATAATATCGCGGATTTATATTAATATATTTTTTTAAATTAAGTTTAATATAAAAGTAATAATAATTTATTAATTTAAACGTTAAATTATTAATAATTATATTAAAATTATTTTTTTATTTTTATTATTATACTTTTATATAATAAGTCGCGATTTTTTATATAATAATTTTATTATTTTATTTTTTATTTTTTATATAATTCGAAAATTAAATATATAAATATTACCATGTTTTATATTATTATACTTTTCGAATATAAATATATTTTTTTTAATAAAATTTTCGACTTTTTAAAAATTTAAAACTTTAAATAATTATTTTAATATTATGATTTTATTTTTTTTATAAAATTTAATTATAAATGTAATATCCGTTATTTCTTTTTATAAAAAATTAATATTATTATTTATTATTTTTTTTAATTTATTTTTATTTTTAAGAAATCGTTTTTATTTTTTTTTAATTATAAGTTATTTAATTTCGGGTATATATTTATCCGGTTCTTTTTCCGATTTAATATCGGATTTATTATTATTCGGGATATCCGTCGTTTCATTATATAAATATAATTTAATAATAATTATATAAAATTTAATTAATTTTTCGTTAATTTTAATAATATATATTTTATTATTTTATATAATAAACTTATAAAGTTTTATTTAACTTTTATTTTTTTAATAAACTCGTATTTTAAATTATAAAAAGAAATTTAAAATATTAAATATATTTAAACCGTTTTTTATATTAAATGCGTCCGTTATTTATTATTTTATTTTAAGCTTATAAATTTTATTTATTATTTTTTTAATCGCGGCCGCACGGATTATTAAAAAAAACATAAACGGGAAACTTTTTATTAATCGTAAATATATTTTAAACACGAATAAAATAAAAACTAAATTATTAAATCTTATAATATTATTAATAACTTTAATAATTATTTATAAAATATAATTTAAATTTA